CCTGCTACAGTACAGTAAAACTCTGTTATCACAAAGTCACTAGGACCTATGAAACTACTCTACTATATCCGTAATTCGTTATATCCGTATCATGTTTAGTTTCATTTATGTAGCTGGGGATCCAATATACATGTGACTTCGTTTTATCCATGAATTTTATCCAAAAAATTCCGAGTTCGTCATAACGAAGTTTTACTGTATTTATTTCTTCTTAAAAAGATCTTTAATTATTAATTTCCATGATAATTAAATGTTAATTTTGTACCTGCGTCAGCACCCTCTGTTGACTGAATATACTGCATCACAGCTCGGTTCTCGGACTTAAGGCGACCCATGCGTCTTTTATAGTAGATAACCATGATGACGATTATAAGTGTCAGAATAATCACGGTCACAGTGATTCCGGCAACCAGTCCGCTGGCTGAACCTTTCTCCTCACTGTTTGTTATTTTTGCAATATTTGGTTGACCTTGAAAAAAAAAACAGGAATTTGGTGAGCATAACATTATACTAAGAAGTACATTCCTTTATGATTTTTTATTAGGTCACTTTTGTGAGTATATAATAAAGTTAACATATTGCACCTAATGAGAGATGACTTTTATTGCTTTCAGCGAATTCAACATTTCAATCTGACAGAAATCTGTACGTTCTGAAAAGCTTTGACATAAAATACAATAAGTACTGATTTGGTTGAAGAAAAAATCTTTTACCCAGTTCAATTCATTAATTGAATCGTTTTGATTCACGTTTTGATTTTTGAACCAAAAATATTTAATCTTTCCCATAGACAACTAACGGACTACTTACTGACGCCTCAAGTAAATAATCAGACCGTAGGCTACGTGAATATTTTCATGAAAGTGATACCAGTGACAGTCTACAGACGCAGAAGAAACAGACCTTGTTAGAAACAAATCCCTAACCCAAAACGAGGAAGAACTTTGGATGCTGTACATTGGAAAATATTCATTTCCCAAATAAACCCAGGACTATTAAACCAAACCTTTCTAAGGAAGAAGAAAAGGCTCTTAAAAACCTCAGCGATGACCCTACCATCATAATTCCTTATGAATAAGGATTTTTACAAAAGTAAAATTTTACAAATGTTGCAAGACAATAATTTTTATGAAAAAAATATCGGAGGGCTTAACAGATAAGGAAAAGGACACAAACTTTGAATTCCGAGAGAGTCAATTCTATGGTTTACCTAAAGTGCACAAGTCTAAAATTATAAAGGATGCCATAAAAATAGTATATATTACATGTGCTGATCCCGCTGATTTAAGCTTCAGACCAATTGTGAACTCTTCACGCAAAGACTGGGTCATTTATTGGATATAAAAAAAATTATAAATCATTTACCTTCATGTCACCTCTAACACCAAACTTGTGATGTATTACACAAAAAACAAATGAAATGTATATTTTTATATGCAACATATATATTTACATGATCAACTGTGTTTGTGGGGGAACAAACAAAATACGGTCTAAATGGAAAAGATTTTTGACATTGTTTTAATGAGGAGGAAGCACAATCACAACTTTATGATTTACTTAACCAAATGAATTCGGATATTAAATTCACGATGGAAACAGATGATTTGCAAATGCCATTCCTCGATGTTCTTGTAACAAAGGATAATACCAGCTTAAATACGGATATTTATATAAACCAACCGACACACACCAATATCTGCATTTTGGATCAAGCCATCCCCATCACACTAAAACAGCTATACCATATAACCTCGCAAGAAGGATATGCACCATTGTGAGTAATACCAATATCAGGGATATTCGACTGGAGGAATTAAAATTGTATTTATTAAACCAAAAATATCCAGAACAACTTGTAGATAATGGTATAAAGAAAGCCAAGGAGTGCGATAGAAGTCAGTTACTTTTAAACATACGACGTGCGAATGACGTTGAAATGATTCCATTTGTGCACAAGAGAAATCAAAACGTGAGTTCAATTATTCATGAATTGAAAACATTAGAGAGGACGAACAAACGAAAAACGTATACAAGAATTGTCGTTTTATCAACAGTACGCCAACCCAAAAACCTAAAGAGAATATGTTCTTCCAAATTCAACGACCATACTTATACAGTCTCTAAGTGTAAGAACCCTCGATGCGGTACATGTGAATACATTACAGAAGGGAACTATAATTTCAATGGGCGTAAAAGTTAAAGAAAACATGTCATGCGATACAAAAAATGTCATTTATGTCATCACATGTCCTGGATGCAAGGAATATTATATTGGTGAAACCGGCAACACTCTCCGTGCCCGTGTTGTACATAAGCAACACATATTACAGACAAATTCAATTAAGTTCGCACCTGGAGGCGTGTGGTAAAAACAATTCAAAATTTTCCCTTTCTATAAACTCAGTTGTGCCACTGATATCCAGAGACGGGAAAAAGAAAAACATTTTATTAGTATTTTTCAGCCAAAACTTAATAGTGTTTTATAAATTACTTGTGATTTCCCCGTACTTTTGTCATATTGTATCTATGACGTCATAATAAACATTTAACGTTCCGCTTAACATGACGTCATAATCACTGTTACTATGATACTATTATAAGCTTCTGAAGATTGAAAATGAAAGCGCTAAAGCTTAACTGAGGATTTTTGTGTTTTCTTTTTACCATTTTTTAATATTGTTATCCGATTACTGAGACACTATTTAAATTTTGGATAATAAAATTAATATATTGCACCTAATGAGAGATGACTTTTATTGCTTTCAGCGAATTCAACATTTCAATCTGACAGAAATCTGTACGTTCTGAAAAGCTTTGATAAAATACAATAAGTACTGATTTGGTTGAAAAAAATCTTTTACCCAGTTCTTATTGATCAATTCAGCTTACTACTACTTACTGATACAACCGTAGGCCGGATGACAAAATTCTAGTCCCTTACAGACACATGTATTACTGCAGTGTTTTCCATAAAATCCCTCCGGACAACCTTAATAAAAATAAAATATTCAAATTTTTTGGCAACCTCAATTAAAAAAAATTAATTATGATGAATTACACAAAAAACAAATGAAATGTATATTTTTATACATATATATTTACTTTGTGAACAGCTGACACCAATGAAACCGGAAGCACAATCACAACTTCCGTCAACTTTACTGCAATTCCCGCCATTCTCACATGAACATTTAGATTTACATGCGGTTCCATAGAAACCGTCTGGGCAGGCTAAAGTGAAGGTAAAAATTAAATTTAAAAAAACATCGAAAGAATGGTGTAAATCAAACTGTATCAAGATATAACATTTCAGAAATATACATTGTACAACGTACAAGTACACATTTATTTTTGTATCTGGATGGTGCAAATGATATAAACAAACTATATTTTCTATCAGATTTGTTTGTCAAATCTTTGATGCATGTCATTTTCATACACGTGACGCTTACGTTTGTTACAGGTTGCTCCGTAGAACCCCATGGGACAAATACATGAGCCGTCTGTAGAGTGACAGACGCCATGATTCTGACAATCCGGGCACGTCTCGTTACACCGGATACCGTATCTACCGGAAGGACAAACTGCAACATAAAGACAGACTACGTAAAGAGAACAGTGGATAAAAGTAAACCGAAAAAAGGTACCAACGAACGCCAGATACGAGAAGATTTAGCATGAGTATCATTTCTGAACAAAATAAAGATGTGCATAGAAAACGTTTTCTGTTAGTAAAATGAAATGTCGTATTTTTGTAAGACTTACCATACTGACAGATCTGACCGGTAAATCCTGCAGGACAGGTGGTAGAAATACATTGACCAGTCACGTGATCACACGTCTGGTTTGGCCCGCATTGACACTGGAAACGGCAGCTGTTTCCATAGAAACCTTCGTTACAAGCTGGAAAGCAAATCCATGATAAAGAAAATCTTCCGCATATAAATTACAAGTTTCCGGGTATTTTTAAAACGGTTTCCATTTTGTCTTTTACATTGTCAATATTGTAAATATTGTTTACCTTTCAGACACTGTGGTCCTTGGTAACCAGGAGGACAAACGCAACTTCCATCTTCTTGGTCACATGACCCTTTGTTGAAGCATGTGCATGTTTTATCACAGTTCTCTCCCCATTTTCCGTTTTCACATTTACTCTTACAATTCACACCTAAAATATAAAAGAAAAATATATCTATTCCCTATATTGCTTCCAAAAAATATACATACATGTAGTAATTAGTAAAGTTACGAAACAAAATATGCACTAATTTACAAAGAACTTAGTGAGATGTTTCGAAGTACACTAGAAAAATCCCTACTATAACTGGATTTGTTTCTTTTTTTTCTTTTTTTTTTTGCCACGTACCGTACCAGCCGGGCTGACAGAAACACTCCCCGTTCTCGGTCCCACATCCGTTACTATTTATAGGATCACACTCACACCTTTGTGCGCAACCCTTACCAAAGGTCCACCTCTACAATCAATAAAACAGTTATAGTGATCACAATCAGACTGGACCATTTTCAATACTGATTCAATATAGAAACAGTGTGCATTTGTACCCTTTTGCTTCAACCGATTACATGTATTTTGTTTGAGCTTTCAGATATGTTTCGAGGGGGGGGGTGAATGCAATTCACAAAATCTTTTAATGTATAAGTATTTATTTGTTTCTTTTAACTTGCTAAGACTTTACAAGGTGTTGACAAATGTAGGCTACATAATTGCCTGATAAGCTTTTCTTATTATAACAGAACAAAAATCAATGAAGAATAATGCCGCCTGTAACCACTCGATAAGGTAATACAGATGCCTGACCTGACATTCCGTGTCACAGGTGTCGCCGACGTAACCAGGACGACACAAACAGCGTCCGTTTCTAGGGTTACAGTACGCGTCATTCCGGCAATCACACCTCTCACTGCAGTTGTTACCATGGTAACCAGAATCACAAAGCTCGTTACACAGTGGTCCTGTGAAACCTGAATAGAAAAAAAGCAGATTTATGACAGCGATCTATTACCTGGTGAACAGTAACAACCATCCCTCTGAAGACGACAGTCTCCTTAAACCGTACTCACCTGACAAACAGTTACACCTGCCGCTCTGGAAGTGACATTTTCCTCCGTTTTCACAAGGACAAGGTTGGGTGCAGTCCTTGCCGAACCAACCATTTGAACAAGTCTTATTACATCTGTATCGAAAAATTTCACCATTTACTTTTTTTATTGATTACATGAGTATTTTCAAAAAGAAAATTAATATCATTTCTTGAGGGTTTGTTAAAAACTGTCTTATGTATCTTCTTTATTGTTTTTGAAGCGGATAACATTTGCCTGAAGATAGAAAGGATAAAACTCTTTAATATTTATTTATGTATATTTTTTGAAAATCAAAAACGCCAAATAAAAATGACTGAACTTTTATTTCAGGATTTCTGATTGTAATGATGATAATTATGAATATAACATTTTTGAATAAGTTTTCTTATTATATCACAAATGTAATAAGTTTCGCTATAAACCCTGAAAAATGCTGAGTCACACCGGAAACAATTATGTCACGCCGGAAACAGTTATGTCACCCTTTCGATCACGTTCACGTGTTTTTACGTTACGCATTTTAATTCGGGTTCGAGATTTTATGACGTCGGTTGCTAAGCAAAAGTAAACAACACAGCGTATTGCTTAACGTCAAGAAGACATTTTTGGATTATTTGTGTAAATATTAACGATTTTGAATGATTTTAAATTTTCCTTTGATTTTAAAAATGTCATGCCCCTCGGTGACAGGAAAGCCCTGGAGTGTTATGTCACCCTCTGCCTTCGGCATCGGGTGACATAACACTCCAGGGCTTTCCTGTCACATCGGGGCAAATATTCTGGTATGACACCCTCGAAGCCATGTGATATATGTATATTATTGCCCGAGGAAATTTTTATCCTATCCATAACTTGTAAAGTGATACAATGCTTGACCTACTTTTCTCCTATATATCCGGTCGCGCACTGACATTCGCCGGTCACGTGATGACAGAGGGCGCCATTTTGACAATCACACTGTTTCTCACATCTGTCTCCGTAAAATGGCGCCGGGCATGTCTCACTGCAGTCAAACCCGTTATACCCTGGACTACAGATGCATTCTCCGGTACCCGGATGACAGCTATAAGACAATTTACAGACTTTATCGGATCTTTGTGTAAATAAAAATGTACAAATATGTTATCTACAATTTGAATATCGTTTTATTGTAAGCGTGAAGCATCAATATGAAGCCTACAGTTGACAGAAAACTCGAAAATTAATATCATCTTGTCTGTCCTTGCTCTTTTGTTATTATTTATATATTACAGATTTATCCCTCCTCACACCCTTTCTCCTTAAGTAAAAGAACCATGACTTTCTAGAGATGATAGCAGGTGTCCCTTTTACTTACCTGTCAGCGTGTGTTGTGTTACAGCGACAAGGTTTGCTACAATCGCTTCCAAATTTCCAGTCATCACATGCTAAAACAAGGTAACACTTACTCATGTAAAAATATATTATATGCTAATTTTACTACAACAGACACACACAAAAATACAAATACACACACGAGAAAATAGAGGAATTAACTGAACAGAAGCAACGATAGATAATCGATAGATAATCGAAGGATAATCCTATCTGATATGTAAATTGTAAAGGAATCTTTATATTCAATTTGAAGGGAAGAAACAAAACATTCTTATGTCGTGACATGCGCACTTACCTCGGATTTCACAAGTCGGGCCGACAAATCCCGGTACGCAGCGACAATGGCCGGTCACATGATCGCAAGTCCCGCCATTTTGACAATTACATTGTTTTGAGCAAAACATTCCATACGAACCAATAGGGCACTCCTCTGTACAGCTGTGTGTCAAATGAAAGTAGGAAGAAATCTTGTAATAAAAATTTATCTTCCAATATTATATGTTTATTGACGAAAGCTAGCTCTACAAAACGAACACTCTTCATTATTTTTCTTTCTAGATGTAGTTAAAAGACAATCTATTTCAAAATAAAAGACTATATAATGTCTAATGGGAAACTCAGTCAAATTCAATTTCATTTTCTTTTCAATCCAATGCTAAATTTATTGCTAAATAATCAGCCATGTGACCTACTCTTCTCCAACATATCCGGGTCCGCAGATACAACTTCCGGTTTTTGGATCACAGGTGGCGTTGTTATAACAATTACAGATCTGATCACAGTTAGATCCGTACCACCCCTCCTCACACGGTTCTGAGCAGATGTCGCCCTGGAATGTTAAGTGAAGATTAGTTTATATTCTCTCTAATTCCCTTAAAACAATAGAAATAAATGAAACTTTTACATTATTTATTGTACAATTATCCCCATACAACTGAATGAAATATATAGGTTTGGTAATTATGTTCCCCAAACGAAGTTGGGGAACATATTGTTTTTACTCTGTTTCTTATTATTATTATTTTTCTTCTTCTTCTTCCTGGGTACTTTTTTGTCCGGGAATGATCTTGTAAACTGTTCGTCCAATGTAGGTAAAACCTTTTTAGGGTCAGTAGACATGTTATGTAGATTTGCGGAATCAAGGTCATTTTGCGCGCACGTGCTTGCAAGAGCGCGCACGTGCAACACGAGAAATGACCAATATAATAGATATAGCCGCAACTTTTCTATTTTTTCATGAAATGCTTTGAAACTCATAATGTGAGGATATATTAGTAGCATATACATGATGACATGGTCAAAATAGCAAGATCTCATGCGCATGCACGTGCGCTGCGCTCTGATTGGCTGAAACTAAAGTCTCAATATCTTTCTTGTTTTTTGACAAAATCCTTTGAAATTTTGAACATAGCCATGCATTAGGATATCCTACAACATGATGTATAACAATTATCATACAAGCACGTGCATGCACGTGCGCTGCAATCTGATTGGCTTAAAGATAGCTATAACTCCCTTGGTTTTCAACCAATCAGGATGGGATTTGGAACATAGATAGATATAATGGATTCCTACAAGAAGGCATGTCTCCATGCACATGCATACACGTGCGTGTATGTGCGCTGCAATCTGATTGGCTGAAACTTTAAACAGCTATAACTCCCTTGGTTTTCAGCCAAACGGAGTGGGATTTAGAACATAGATAGGTATAACAAACTTCTACAAGAAGGTATGGTCATCATGCTCAAGTATGCACGTGCATGCACGTGAAATGAGTAAAATCAAAAATACACTTGAATGAGCATATTCTTTAATACTTTTGGATTAAATATTTTAATATTTAGTATATTTAATATATAGATTGTGTAGACAAGATGATATGGTCATTATGCACATGCATTAACATGCGCACGCGTGTAATGCTAAAATTTGAATGAACTTGGTACACTTCTGGGTAAATGTTGTTAAAGTCTCAAATGCATAGAGTTTGTCTTATTTAATGAAGCTTACAGGAAATATTGCACCAAAAGGGATTTGGGGAGCGTTTGGGGAACATCTGTAACGGTCCCCGTTACAATTAGCACTAGTTATTCATTGCAGAGGTACTAAATCAACTAGTCAAAAATAGTTCTTAAATGATAGATGGTGCATATTCAGATAATTTTAAATACTCAAAACTATATTATTTTTATAATTCAAAACACTATATTGAGTTCATTTGAATATTAATATTTATGTAAATTATTCAAATATTTCCTAAACAAACCTTCCATCCGGGTTTACATGAACAACTTCCGGTGTCTGTGTTACATCCGGCCCCGTTCTGACACTGACACGTGGAATTACAATGGGCATCAATAGAGCCTTGTGGACAACGAGATTCACAGCTAAAAATAGATCAAATATTAAACAACTGATAAAAAACAGACAGGACTTTTTTTACATTAAGATGTAGACCTATAAAGACTACGAACATTATAATTTCAATGCAAGTAATTTATATGTTTTATGATTCCTGTATTAATCAAAGTTTTCCTACAATTACTGAAATGTAAGTGATGATAAAGTACATGTGCTAAAAAATAAAAATTTATGGTAAGGTAACCTATGATTCTGAATCACATTAAGCAATTAGAATTATGTTTATCGATGAAATGTAATTCATGTATTAATCAAAGTTTTTCCGCAATTAATGAAAAGTCACTAATGATTACGTACAGACCACCGTGGTACCCCGGGGGACAGAAGCAGGCTCCGTTGGTGGCGCTGCAGGTGGCCCCGTTCTGACACTGACACATCAGCTGGCAATTAGGTCCATAGGAGCCATCGGGACACCTCGTCTGGCATCGTTCTCCCGTGTAACCTAAAAAAGGAGAGATAACTCGAATTAATTATGACATTTACACAACATCTGAATGTTAGGGTCTAAGGGAACTGAAAGGACACCGTTTCTAACATCGGCAACTCGTGCTACTTATCAAAGAAAGATAACTCGGGTTTATTATTTTGACATTTACACAACAGCTGATATTTTAGCTCCGGACATCATTGTCCTTAACAGAGAAGCGAGAAAACTCAAGTCAATTAATCTGCCTATTGCATCTGCTGAAAGTTTTATGTGTTTGACATTATTCTCACTGACTTTTTCAGAAACGAGATAACTCGAGGTACAGCAAATACTTTTGGCAAAATTAGACATCTATAAAATGGTAAAAGTCAATCAAGTGCATTTTATTCGTGCATTTGTATGAAAACAAAATGTCAATAAATATTCCTGAGAATTTGTTGAAAAAAAAAATGAAGAAATTATAGTGTTCTTGATTCAATTTATAGTAACAATAAGTAACATACCTGCTGCACAGATGCAATGTCCTGAATCTGGGTCACACTGACCGTGTCCGCTACAGTCACACTGTCTCTGACAGTTAGGGCCCCACGTGTCGGGGGGACAGTCTACAAAACATACAGGTTATATTTAGTAACATGCAGGTTATATTTAGTAACAATATCCAGTCACACTGTCTCTGACAGTTAGGACCCCACGTGTCAAGCGGACAGTCTACAAAACATACAGGTTATATTTAGTAACATGCAGGTTATATTGAGTAACAAAATTGAGGGGTGGAGAGGACATTGTCTAAGTTAAATACAATTAGGGTGAATTCACCATGCATCGGACACATACCTTGCTTCGGACAACTTTAGACAATAAATTCTCTTTCAACTTAAGAGTTCCGTGTATTTATTTGTTTCTGTCTAGAAGCTGAAGATTTAAATTTTTTAATGATACCGATTGTTATTATCATGTTGTGATAAAAATACCCCGAGAATGGCCTTGAAGTTACGTCATATTTTTACATCATCAAAGGGGAATAACCAGAAATTTATGATTTTGCGATTTTTAGAGTTATCGTTCTTAAAATTCGACTTCAACGGAACGAGTCAGACTTTGGTAAATAAAGTCAAAGATTGGTAATTTTACATAAATTTTAAAGAAATTTCACTTCAATGTTCGTATAATTCTTTTTAGAGCTGGTTTTCACTAGTATGTTCACTTCTCCGTATATCGGACACAAATTAACCATGCATCGGACACTTTCCGATGCAATGGTAAGCACTACCATTTTCATACAGAACCCAGCTGATAGCTGTTTTTTGCTGAAAAAGAAAATAAAAACTCTATATTTTCAGTCAAAATACAAGTTATGGATATATGACGTCTGGAATTTGACACAATTTATTTCTACAAACCAGAGTATGATAAACCATGAAAAAAGGGCGCGAATTATCGCATTATAAGCATTTTAAAGCATTTCTAAGGCAGACTGAGGTCTCTTGAATCGTTCTACATTTGTGCAACGATATCGTCAGTTAAATTTAGTTGAGGGTTATTTCTTAGATAAAAGATAAAAATATATCCATATCAAGCATTTTAAAGCACTTTGATAAAGGTATGATATTTTTCTTGTCAAAATACTGTCTGTCCGATGCATAGTAAACAATGTCCGATCCATGGTGAATTTTGAGTTATTCCTAAAAACTCGATTTTTGAGGGTATTTTCTCAATAAAGGGCATGTAATTGTGTCCCAAATTGATATTTTAATCACAAACTAAATGTTAAACTCCATTTTGATAATTTTCCGTCGGTAGCGATATCGCTAGAACACTATATTTAATACACGTTTAACAAGGGAGGAAAGGGCAGTAAGTACGCTATACACGAGTCATATTTTGTAACATGTTTCCAGATATCAGTCTGTAACCAATAGGGTCAGAATAGACAGTATGTAAGGTATATTTACTGTACTTGATAACACTAAAAAAACTGCAACGTATCCGGTCCTGTACAATTTCCGTTTACACAACCGGAAGTACAATGTGCTATGAAAAAAATTAAACAGAGATTACATATCATAAAAATAATCCAAATTTAAACATTTCAAGATGTACATCATGAAGGTCTATAATACATACATATACATTGTCCGGTAGAGAGGACAAATCCGTCACAGCAGTTATACTGTTTCCGGTACAGGGTCCGTGTCTCTTGTTTATATCCGGTCTTGTACAGTGTGCTGCAAATGGAAATGAACCGGATGTCCTGTTTCTTAAAGCATTCATGAAAAACAAAATATTCCCACACTACTTTTTTTCTTTTAAGTGTCTTTATTTTTTTAAAAGCTTTTGTAATTTATGATGTATATTACGCTATCTCCATAAATTTACGTAAATTTAGATTGCTGAAATCAATTTCCAGAATTTTATCTGTTTACATGAAAACATGCATAGTTTACTTTTTGTAAATAAATTAAGCATGCTAGTCCTTTACACCAAAATAGTGTCCAGTCACCAAGATTCATACATATGTAATAAGTGGGCGGGGTCACTGTTCCTCTCAATATCCAAAGACATGAATCAAGTAATGTTACTGTTCCAAATGTCAAAAAGAGGCGTGGTTTGTTTACTATTGTTTACTATTCCAAGCATGATGAAAAGGGGGCATTCACTCAGCCTATTTTTTCCATCAACTTTAGATAACCAGGTTATATCAATAATGGGGCGTGGTTAGTCTGTCTCATTATACAACTTGATATATGATAATATAAATCATGCGTGATTCTACCCCAAAGTTAATTCTAACTCTTTTACAATTCTTAAAGAAATGCATCGATCATCAAATATGTATAACGCAAAGTTCCCAAGCAGTTTCTACAACATGAGATTGAATTACACAGGAAACCGTATCAAATGGAAGAGGTGGATCATAAGTATTGAAACTTTGAAAAGGGCTAAAAATAAGTTAAAATGAACATAAAAATATCTAATGAAGAAACGCACAATACATACACTACATGCTTAATTGAACATAAAGACCATACCCATTTGCGAAGCGATAACTATATATAATAAAGACAATATAAAAACATGAATGCAGTTATGCTTAATTACCTACCCCTATGTAAAAGTAAACATTTGGCAGATAATTGAATTAGTATTATATACAGTATATAAATCAGGCTCATGCCAAATAAACCCTCGGCCCAAGATACCTTCATTCATAGATAAACTACGGTATTATGACGTCACTTTTACGACGTCACTTGTTTGTACTCACTAACACTTGGTACAGCGAAAGAACTTGAGAACATTAGGGCACCACGTTCTTGTACATTTTTCATACGGCTTCTTGTACGAAACCTGCCTAAGCTTTTTAAACCTGGAATATTGTCCCATAAATAAATAAATTTTAGTTCAATTCTGTTTTATTCCTTAACAAAGACAATAATCCATCCACCTACATTTCATGCATAATTATTAAACTCTCGGTACCAAAAGAAACCTAAATGAGAAAACAATTCGGGTTAGATGTGCATCCTCTCCGTGATTTATATTTCAGTCACCACTTCCGGTCACATGACCTTGTTACTCACTAGCATTTTGTACAACGGAATAACTCGAGCACGTTAGGGCACCAGGTTCGTGTACAGCGTTCAAAGGGCTTACTATAAGACCGAGTTATGACGTCACTTTGTCTGTTTTGTAGAGAAGAAAGACAGTTAAATTAGACAGAAGAGAAAGTAGAAAGTTCCAGCAAGACTGTCTAGTTGTAAACTCTTGCTTTCCATATCAATCCCTGCCTTAAAAAACTGTATCCTTTCTTAATTGTATTAATCGTCAAAATTCAAAATTCATAATCTTTTTTAAAGAAATGACACCATATCGAATTTTTTAATCATCATAATCAGGTAATCTTTCTTTTGAAACGTCTAAACTAACTTCAAAATACATGTACCAAGGAAAGCAAGAGTTTGTATACTATGAGGTCATGCCGGAGAATTCCTTACTAGCACTGGGTACATCGGAATAAATTCCAGATGCTAGAACACCATGTCTGTGTACATTTCTGGTAGGGCACCTGTGTAGCCGTGGTGTACACTTGTGTGTATCTGTAAAACAAAGGGAATTAACTCATACATATAGTTACAGAACACCTGAACAGCCGTGTTGTCATCTGGGCGCATCTGTAAAACAAAGGGAATTAACTCACACAGAGAGTGACAGGCCACCTTAACAGTAGTCATCTGTGCGTGTCTGTAAAACAAAGGGGATTAATTCATAACTGAAAGAGCACCTTAACAGCCGTAGTTGTCATCTGTGCGTATATGTAAAACAAGGGGAATTAACTCCTACTGAGTAATAGGACACCTTAACAGCTCTGAAATACATTTTCATGCATATGCAAAACAAAATGTACGTGCAGCATCGGCATACAAAGAATGCGTTTATGATTTATTGCAGCTAACTAGATCCTGAGAATGTGACATCTTCTTTAATGACGATTGACGAGTCTACACTCTACCTGAAGAGAGTCATAAAAGGGTGTAAAGTAAAGGGGGCAACAAGTTCGATTCAGACATAATACAACTATTTGGTATGATTTAATGTTTGAATTGTGTTGATATGAATAAAATGTATTGTAATCATGCAAAAAATAGCAAGATAAAAATCCCGCAGATTTTATTTATTAACTAATTGATAATATTATGAAAAACAAAAAGAAAAAAATTCCGAGTCAAATATCTGTGTTTGTTAATAAATGCTATTGCATGTACTAATGGACTCTTTTATATGCACTTATGTTATTTTTGGCCTTGTAATTATGCATAAATTAGCACGCTTAAAATTTTGCAGTATTTTATGTATCAATCAACATCAGAAAAGCTCACTTGAGCTTCCGGCTCAAGTAAGCTAAAATGTAGTGAAACCTCAAAGCATTCTTATGAAGAAAACCTAAAAGAAAATTGATACAAAAAGGAGAAATAAATTGCTATTTTCCATAAAGCTGTAATGCAGATCTATACTGAAAACAAATTAACTGTTTATTTATGTCAGCAATTTATGCTATATTGAGCAATATAACTGTCATTCATTATATCAGAAAATATACGTTTTTAAATGATATAAAATTAGAAAAATAGCTTTAAAATATCGTTACACATATTTAAATTTTAACTATATAAATTAATTTATTCATTGTCTTTTTTTAAACAAAGAAATATGTCCTTAAAAATTAAATACATAGGGAATACTTACGATACGGTTTTATCGCATACATTAGGATCTCCCTCGCTCAGAGCTCTCGTCAAGGAAAGACACGACAGAGCTACCAACGAGATTTGGACGAGACTTCGAGGCAGCTGCATTATCCTTGGTCCTGAAACAAAAAAGTTTGTAGTCAGAAGGGGGGTCCATTAAATTAATAGAAAGTACGAAGGGATAAATTCTAAATGATAATAATTAATTCATCGTGTACATTGACAAAAAATAAAGAAAATAACGGTTTATAATTATATAAGCATGCAATACTTTAGACCGTTGGCATTAATTATTTTGTATGTGTACTCAGTGCCGTTTGGCAGATTAATTATGAGTTAAGCGTGTCAGTCAAAATTATTATCAAAGTATACTAAATATTCCAGTCACATCGGGTAACTATTTGATTAAAGACCTCAAAACCAACATCGGAGAATTTGTACACAAGAAAAAGGGAAGTAAGTCGCGATTTTCAGTATGTTACTGATAAGAGTTATCGATCTTACAGTACCTTTTGAAGAAAACTTCAATTAGGAATTTGGTGTGTCTTATAGTTAATTGCATTCAATCGTAAAAGATTTCCAATTCAAATACAAGTATTTCTTGAAAGAATTAATGGGCGATATGGTTTGCAAGCTAAAAACGAGGTGCAAGCGTCTCACTACCTATATATTGAAATGGCAACTGTTGAATTAGGTGAATAGACAAATGGAATTCATTAAATAGCTTAATTACTGAGTAACTTTTGTTCAAATGAGAAGTCACTCAACAGACGTGACACGTAAGATAAAATTATGCCATCTCCCATGTAGAATTGTTCTTCGTTCCTCTCTCAGACACAAAGGAAGTGAATGTATTATGAGCCGATGGTAGAGAATGGAAATTATGTACTTCTTGTATTTGATTGAGTTAATTTTACAAAAAATATTATCCTTGTGTTTCTTGTCTAAGTGCGAAGGAGAGGGGTGTTTGCTTGTTTAGAATGCAGGCTATTGCGATATATAAACTTGTCCTGTATTTGTAGATCTTAGAACAATGTCGTTTTATTCTAATTTTAGGATTTGTCCAAATTTCTGAATTTTATAAATTACGATAAAACAAACATTTTTTTCCAAATCACTTGGTTCGACTCCATTTTAATTCATATGATAATAATGCAATTGTAATACAGCTCTCAGCCAAGATTTATTTTTTTCATTCAATTACTTTTTTTTTTTACCAAAGGGGTTGGACATATAATTCTTAACTGACATTTCTTGATCGCCTGTAAATTTCCCTCTTGTTTTGAAATACTCCTGATTCCTGACGTTTTCGCTCCCTTTGAACTCGTCACAGCTGACGAATAACTCAGGGACGACTTATCAATGCAATGTAATGTCTGACTTTTATGTCGATGTAAGCCGCGCTCTATAACACTTGTCCCCACACCCTCTGACAAAAACAGAGGTAAGAACGATTTTATTACTTCAGATTATGTCCAAACAAATCGTACATAATGTTTTTATGTATGATGAATATCAAATACACAACACTGAGATCTACTCCCGCCCCCGCCCCTTCTCTCCAGTCCTGAGACTTATTTTTATTTTAATGTCTAAAGAAAACGTATGTAAATGGAATATAACTTCAAAAAATGTGTTAAATGTGAGCCTAAGACAGATACTAGTATTTTGTTGATCAAGAAAGAAAAAAAATTACTTGGAACTGTTAGTATACATGTATATGCTCATGCTATTGGAGAAATGGTGTCAACTGTTAATTACAAATAAATCTAGCCATATAACGATGACAGGGACTAAAAAAACACACACAAAAACTGGGTTTGCAGGTTTTAATAAAAAAATAATAAGAAATTGGAATATTTTGAGTTTATGCAGGATCTTATGAATAAATGAGAAGTACATTTGTAAATCACGTGAGAGCTATCTCATGAATAAACTGCAAATCATTTCTTTATATGAATTCCCCATATAAATTCCATCTTTAGACAAAATATTAAAATATGGAATGCACCAGGTGAACTGTTATAATTAATTTAATTAGGCGTTTTGACATGACTATAACATGAGATTAGCATGTATGAATTCAGTGCATTGATTTATTGGTAGAATATTAAGCCTCGGGGCAATGTTTTAAATTAAGAAATACAACACATCACATGTTTGGGATCGAAATTCCTTGAATTCTATCTAAATCTGAATTTCGCATTTATTTCTGAATTTAAAATGCAGGCACACATGGTGTATTGGCTAAATTTGAATCATTTTAACAGAAAGGGTAAACTAAATGTCTACAACTATACGTCATTCGAAACGAATTTAAAAACTGCACAGTCAGGCTTGGAATCTGAAGCCTCGATCAGCGTTCTTTTTCGTGACTGGAAATCTATTTATACGGAAAATGAGTAAGGTTTAATTGCATGTGATGCAGAAATGCTTACTTATGGACCCAGTAAAACTTATGGAGATGGAGGTCGAAACAAAACAAAATATTAAAAACTGAATTTTATTTACAGTTGATGATTCCAGCAAAGCTCAGCATAGTCTTTTTGAAGTGTATAATGAATAGTACTTATAATATAGCATATCAACAACTTTCTCTCACATTAATAAGTCGCAAAAAAACCTATTAAACACGTTCATTTGTTTATCTCTGTGTTTATTCGTTCTAATGTTGTTCGCAATTAATATAAAAGAATAGACACACGGGATAAAAATCCCCCTGTCGTGTGAATAGCACCGTAATTATTATGTCATCAGGCAGAAATAGCGTACTCATATAGCCCCGAGTACCATCTTTACCCAATACTCGGAAGTTATTCACCACCCAAAGTATCGTCACACGCGTGATATTACGAGATTACAGGAGTAGTCCATGATTTAAATAGACTGGATGCCGGATAACCAGAAATAAAGGGATGAAAGTTTGTTAATACCAATTTAATTTCAATTCAAGTCATGCTAACACAGACGTTCAGAAACGGATAATTTTTTATTTACTTTCAAGAATTTTATGTGCACGCATGCGCAAAGCGTATCTTTTAGACTTGAGATTCATGAAATTATCATTTTACGAAGAAAATGGTATGGTATCTATTGACCTCTTCGATGCTTTTCTTCTACCTCGCCCTCCTCTTAACCCCAACCCCTTCATCCAAAGAAATAAAAGTTTCGCAGCCAAACACAAAATTCACAAGCAAGGAAATTCAACAAAGGCGTGATGAGGTCAAGACTCCCAGGCCACAATTTTTCTTATAGCAAATACACAAAGATTCTTGGAAAGAAGTCAAAAGCATGTGTGCAGGTCATAGGGATGTCCCCATATTTCAACCATGCATTATGTCTTTTTCCTTGTTGATAGAGACTCGCATCCCGTTATCTGATTTCAAAGATGTACATTATGTGAAAAATATTTAACTTCAAAAAGCTTTAAATTATCAATTTAAAGGAGAATGAGATAAAAGACTTATGTGACATGTAAATGGCCATTAGTCAGGCATAACGACTTATATTATATGCATCTACATTGCGTATCTTTTTCTTCTTCTTTGTTGTACTTTTTCACTTACATTTTCTAGATAAATAAATCATATACCTGTAACTCTGTCCTGAAGTTATTTTCTATTAATTTTTTACATGTACAGTATATTAAGATGCTTTTGAGTGAATATCAGAGCTAACACTATCTGGAGAACTAGTGTGTTTAATTGACATTTAGAAATTTTCCCCGATAAAAGTAATGAAAGGATTTTGGTAAATTTCCCACTATGTCCCAAATGCCTTGATAAAACAGGTGCCCGAAGAGGAGAGAGGTCCTCAGATGCCACAGCAATGCCACAGTAATACAAATTTGTCATATAAACTCTGTCGTCAGAAACAAATGTAGGGAAAGTAAAACAGTTTCTTTAATGTTTGCCATATTTACGCTGAAGAAAGCGCGCGTACTTCAAGTTTTTTTTTTTTTTTTATATATATATTTCTGCCCCAGCCAATACAAATGTCAATTAAAAGTTAATAAGAGTGTGAAAGTTCTGAAATAAAATTGTATCGAACACAACAAATTTAAAGAGACAATAGTGCTGCTCAGTGGATCTCATGAAATGGCCGTGTACACCTTTACACGGGTATTCAATTTAACATCTAGATCTGTGTAACTGTATCTGTGTCTGTAGTTACACCTTCTATTGTCAGTTATACATTGTTTTTTCTAGGTCAATACCTTGAAACGTTAGTTTACAGTGAAAAAAAGTATAAAGTTCGTAGTGCCTTGCTTGACCTACATATTTACACACTGAGACATAAGAAGAAAAAGAGAATACATCTTTATTATTTAGATAAATACAGAGTAAAAGGAAGAATTTCGGATAAGTTTATATTGTATATATTGTTATATAGGTCTACAATATATTTTCCTTGTTGACATAATTACTAAAAAAATGTATCCATAATCTTAAGCTTATATTGTTCATTTCCCCTTCTTATAGCTTAACATTTATAAACTTACATCGTAAATCGTAAACGAGTCCTTAAAAGTCACGATGATATTATTCCTTGATATCGATATCTTAATAACGATTCTTTAATATCGATACCTTAATAACGATTATTTTATATCGATACCTTAATAACGATTATTTTATATCGATACCTTAATACCGATTATTTTATATCGATACCTTAATAACGATTCTTTAATATTGATAACCTAAAACTGTACAGTACAAGAGCACTGAAAGCAATATCACAACCCCCCCCCCCCCCCCCCCCCCGAAATCGATACGGTTTTCTTCCCAAATCCTTAATTGTGATGTTGCCTGAAAGTGATGCCGATACTAAGATATCGGTAATTTCATATCGAGATACTAACCTCTTTATATCAATAAACTTACCTTTATAGTACACAGCGTCCTTAACTACATGTATACCTAACTGTTTTTGATTTCCATACCCTTTACTGCAGTTGGTTTATTTCTATATTTGTAACACACTCAGACTGGAAAAACCTATATCTATCTTACATCAAAGTTCCGTCTTTTGGAATTTCTATGTTTTATTTTATTGCTTTTAAAAGAAAACCAAGGTTTAAAATAGGGCATTGCCACCTTATTTCTGTCTATGTTTGAGTTAAAACAAGTGTGTCAAGCATTAAACATTTTCTTTATTACAGTTCATCGATTGTAAACCTGTTTTACAATTCAATCCTAGTCCTTTAAAATATCTTTAACTGCACGGTAATGTTTATTGCAGTCAATTGTGATATATATTTATATCTTTAAAAAATCTAAATCAGGTTCTCCTACATAATGACTTTCATGTCGACTTTTGCAAGATATAAATCTCAGAAATATCCTAGAAATAAAATGTCAGAAAGGGTACCGTCATGCAAAAATCTTTAGTTATGCTTTATGTAGTTTTTTTCTCTAGTGGAAACATGAGGGAATTTCATGGACGACCTGAATACTTTTACCTCACCCCCACCCACCCCCTGTGCCACCTCCTGCTGGTTTGACGTCCATGGCCAAGGGCTTGAGGATAAGTTTGTCATGTTGTAAATTTTGAATTCACCGGGTGTCAGTAAATACAAAATTTACATGACAAGTCCTTCACCCCACACCCTTACAATACTATAAATACAATTTTTTTTATTCCAAAAATTCTTTTATTTCATTATTTTATTCCTTTTGTTAATACGATTGATTAATTTTAAAAACCAATGGCCAGATTTGGTCAATGTTTGATTTAACCCTCCAAAACATTCAAAATCAACAATTCATTGTACTCCATTGTATCATTAGTCAAATTTCGTCAAAAATTCAAAAATGCCTATGTACTTTTAGAGTGCAGTCTTCTCTCAAGAATTATTACGCTTACCAGTGATAGACTAAGTTACAGAAACTTTCGTTACTGTCCAATACACCAAAGGCATTATGGACGGTAAGACAGCTCATGCATATTGTATGCTAAACCTCATGTAGAATTTGTAACTGCGGGATTTTATACAGGAAATAATATACTAGTATTTGGTTGTGAACAAATTATTTCAAAAGCATGTCTTTTTTTTTGAATGTGTCGATGAACTATAAACGTCAATTTTATTAAATGCAGAAGCATGATTCAAAAACAAAAGTAAAAAGTTTTGAATTTCCATTTTGAAATGATTTCTAAGAAATAAGCTTGTAATTTTTCTGATGAAAATCGAGGGCACATTTTTTTTTCTTGGTTAGGATCGTGTTTGGTTACATTCTATTAAAAAAATATTATTCTCTTATTTTGAAATTGGACCATTAAACCCTAACCCCTAGAGCCATCCCACCCCATCCCCCACCTCCACCATCACCAACACGCCCCTCCCATCATCTGACTAATAAGTAAATGTAAGTAAACGCAGTGTTACCGATGACAAATGTCAGGTGGCGGATTTTGAGTGGCGAAAGAAAACGATTTATTCAGAGAATACAGCTTCACAAGCAATTCTATAGTTTATAATTTAATGTATGAGGAAGGTAAATTGACTATATATGTTTGTAGTTTGGTTTAGACTTAAGACAGGTAAAACATTTAGCCGAGGGGCTTCTCTTACACCTGTCTAATTATTAATACTAATTAGTTAGCAAGATCTTGTCAGACGTGTATAACACGTATACTGCTGATTAATAACTAAGAGAATGTGCGCAAAATTAATCAACGCGGATTATCATTCGTCAGATCTCTCTATCTATCTTTGAGTCTCAATAATCCAAATATGATAGAAAATCTCTCTCTCTCTCTCTCTCTCTCTCTCTCTCTCTCTCTCTCTCTCTCTCTCTCTCTCTCTCTCTCTAAGTAATCCAGATATGGTCGAATGCGTATATTCTGAGGTTAAATGACTCTATACACAAAAACATGAACACAAAGAAATGGCGATTTAAGCGAATAAAAAACAGAGAATCACCACTGGCCTGAATGAGAGAATATCGTACCTGATAAAAGGCGTTATTCCACGGTCATCAAAATCAAAAGAATCACAAAAAACAGAATAATTGTCAGTGAATTATAAAACCATTGTATTCCCACTGTGTAATAGAATCAGACACTTTGAGGTTAAGTTTAAAATCCTGTCAGCTGATGTGTTTTAGTGTTTCGTAAAATTTATACTTATGTATATAAGTAAATCATTCAAAAGTTTTAAAGATCCCGAACTTAGCCTAGCGTTGCGGAACAATCAGCGATAAGTATATTCTATATATGTGTGTTATTGACGAGTATGGATGACAGAATGTATAAGACTGTCACGTGACCGCGGGGACATCCATCAACGAAGTGACGTGGGACGTCCGTGTTTCCCAGGGGTTAAGGGTCAAGAATAAGGAAGAAGAAAAAAAACAAGTTTTTGTTACTTAATAACTAATAACAAAACAAGAAGTGTATATATGTATAGTTCTTCCATTACTTTTAAAAGGTATTCCAAATGTTTGATTTTTTTTTAAAATACCTATTACTTCTAGATTTATAGTTTTCGAAATTTTTTATGATATTTTGCCTCCAAAATAATGAGAGGTATGTTTAAATGGCGTGAAATTTCTTCCCACTGATTTAAGCATCTTGTCCCCTGACTGTGTTGTGATCGTTTCTGATCGTCCTGGGCGTAAACCGTTTTTGTAGACAACACGCTCAATTAAACTATCTAATAAAACATTTTTATTTTTTTCTTTTCTTAAATAGAAATGGATGCCTATATATACAGGTAGCTATTTTCCTGTCCTTAGAAACGGCCGTTAGAGTGAAAGGACATGAGGCTACCGCTCGGATCTAGAGGAGGGCAGGGGTCGGAGGGGGGTTCCAGACCCCTCCCCCCGGTCTTTGCAGAGCTGTTAAACGTTTATGATAAACCAACCGAAAGTGACTTTAGACCCTTTTGCTTGTTAAGAAATTTCTTGCTTTGATTTTATTTTACTGGGTTGGGAAAAAAATCTGGATCCGCACCTGAGCCAGACAACTTTCTACCGACATGTTCTGTAACTCCTGAAAGGACATGATATGGTAATTGACGATTTTGCCAATTCATTTGGGAAGTGGCACGTTTATAAACTTTATATTTCTATGTACTACATGTATTTTAATTGCACGACATATAGTTATATTTAAGGAAAGGAACTCGTAAGCTGAAAGAACTTGTTTCCTATTCTTTTGATTTATTCAATAAAATCATGTTCAATAAAAAAAACAGTGGCACGGTGTTTCTGGCATACACGTGATCTATTGGGAAATTATACTGGAAAGGGGAATAACTCGTTGTCATATTAACTTACTTACTCCAGGTTTGGTTGACTTTATAGGTGGGTAACTCCGCTTGAAAAGCGGAAAGGTATTTAGTATATATTTGGGATGTCCGTCCGTCCGTCTAGCTGTCCGTCCGTCTGTCTGTTACACATTTTTACATGGCACATTTTTATCGACAAACGATTGAGGGGCATTCAGTTGTTTTCAATCATTTCACTCGACACCCGTAATAAAAGTGTAGAATAGAGGCACCCCTAAAATCTAAAATCGATATCAAGTGTCGTATACCTTCGCTCCTACTTGTCTATACTAGTATACTGTGATATTTTTTAAACGTGTAAATTTCAGCGATTTTTTTATAGATTTTTTAATGAGTGTTTTCAGACACATTTAGAAAAACACGATACACAAAATACATGTACACCATCCTGAAACCAAGATAATATGTGTCCGCTTGACCTTATAGTTCTGTTTAACTGACTTTTATCCCAGTATTTCATTCACATTTATTTTCTGTATATATACAAGTATTGAGGTATTTAATTAAAAGGTCTACAGAATTTAAGATTACAGAGTGTCATCTGAAGTTTCTAGTTGTAAGTCGGTTTGGCTGAAATTTTTTTCTAAAATAAGTGACAGAGTAGCATGCATTTCTTTTGTTGGTGGGGGGTTTGTGTGTGTGTGTGTGTGTGTGTGTGTGTGTGTGTGTGTGTGTGTGTGTGTGTGTGTGTGTGTGTGTGTCGTTTAGCTTTTTCTAAACTTAAACGACAGAATGCCATAACTTCGTACAGTTCCGCATTATATGACTGTTTTTCGGGGAAAGGAATGGCTTTTTCTAGACTTAGACTGTAGCAAACAAATAAAGCGGAATAACTGTAGATCGACCAGTTCCAGACCGACATCTCTTGTACAGTGTATATTACAGAGTTGCCTCTCTTTGGTCTGTCACCAGTTATTAAAATTATGCATAATAAAATTTACGTTGTAAAACGAGAGGGGAAAATGAAATGCTACCTGAAGCAGTAAAGCTGAACAAAACTTTGAGATTTAAATCCCCCAGACAGGAACAAGCGATCAGCGAGTCATTGTTTTCCTCCCATTAACGGGTTCATCGCGCCGCGTCCTAGCTCAAGTGTGGAGTATTGTCATAAATCACAGAGAGATTACGAATAGATCGATAGAGGATACCCGGATCTCAAGAGGAAGAAGGAGAGAGAGAAACCCCGGGATAGACACAGGAGATATAAAAGGTATATTGTCTGGGATTATAGCGGGGACACTTGAGGAGGGGGTACACGCGCACCTGTTATAACGTTATATATAGGGAATCGCAAACAACAGGTGAAGGTAAGAGAAGTATATAAATTATCGAGTGGTTTACCGTGTACAGGGAAGTATAGGAGAAATCGACAAGGCTGGATTTTTTTCTGTGTGTCATATCTTCATAAAAAGGTTTTATTTACCAGGTAAAATTGCATATATCGATTTTCTTAAAAACAAAGAGAAAGACAGCAAATTAAAAAGATATTTTGAGCGTTATAAACCAGTTAATCAGAGATTTTTCATATGGAATTTTCAACAAAATGCCAATCCTTCAAATTATTACATAATTATGAATTTTCCTTATATTTCTAGATTTAAAGAAATCACATTTTTCGTGGAAGCTATAAGGTCGATATTTAAATAAAAGATGTCGAAAGATAGACAGTGATAAAATAGAAAACACTTAAGTTTATAACAATTTTATTATACAGATAAAATGGAAGAGGACACTTTGCGGGCAATGTTAGATAAAGCAGATCGGGTTAGAATTTAGGGTGTACTCAGCAATGCTCAGAGAAAACATTTCAAAATTATAATTTAAAAAAATATTATGTACGTATTATAGTTGTGTATACGTAACCTTTTCATTCTGTACGGGAAAATATCAAAATTTCTGAATTTTCGAGTTGCGATTAAGGGAATCGATCTTTAATTTTTTAAAGTTATAACTAAAATTAGCCATACTTCTTGTTAAAAATAAGAAATAAGATATGGAAAGAGAGTTCTAATTTTATAATTTTGTGCAGGAAAAATTAATTGAAAACTCTCGTAATGAGCTGTACAAATTCAAGAACAATACTGCCCTCTTATGACCTATAGGATGTAAAAAAGGATAACCATTTTATCGTTCCTGATTACTGTTTACAACGACTTCTTATCAAACTACCAGAGATATACAACTGAGATGTCTGACTTCACACATCTTTGTGATAATCAATTCCTTCTTCTTGCAATTTTTGCTGTAAATATGGTAATCGTGTTGTCTTTTATGGTAACTTTAGAGACTGATTGTCACAGTACAAGGTTTGGACACCATCAATGCTTGGTTTCTCGTCCCAGTAAGTCTTACATCTCTATTTAGCAATCTTCCTCGCCTCACGGATTCTGTATTACGTGCTGTCTCTACTTTGACCGAGTTTATAACCGCGTCATTAATTTCCTCCGGGTGCCATTAATAATTAAAACTGTCATGGCGGCCCAGTCAAAGCTTCCATTATTGTCACTCTATAGCTATTGATGTTAAACTGTAAGTTCTATTTGATTGTGGAAGATAATAATTAATATTTCATGCTCTCCAAAATGTTGAACCGAAGCGAAAAAACAGAGAATTCGAAAGTGTGTAGAATAGAGGTATTATTTAAAAGCAACTTTTAAAATAAATGAAACATAAAACATCGGTTGAAAACTTACAAAAAAATATCCCAAAAAACACTCAGTCTCTAGGGCAAAATGATTATTTAAAAAAAACAAGATGTGTTTGTTAAATACTATGTGCCCGGTGGCAACAAAGTTCAAAAAAAATATATTTAGCTTTTACTTTTAGGTCACAGTCAAGGTCACAAGGTCATTGGCCTTGGTGTCATTTAAAATAGCTTAAATAGTGAAGTATGTATACCAAATATTAAGTCTCTATCTCTCATGGTTAAAAAGTTATGGTGAAAGTTCGAAAAAGTTATCTTTAGCATATATGCCACAGTCAAGGTCATAAGGTCATTGACCTTGGTATAATTGGAAAGAACTTAATAAGTGAAGTATGCATACCAAATATGAAGTCTCTATCTCTTATGGTTAAAAAGTTATGGTGAAAGTTCGAAAAAGTTATTTTTATCATATATGCCACAGTCAAGGTAATAAGGTCATTGACCTTGGTAACATTTGAAAAAGCTTAATTAGTGAAGTAAGCATACCAAATATGAAGTCTCTATCTCTTATGGTTCAAAAGTTATGGCGAAGGTTAAAGTTGACAACAGACAGACAGACAGACAAAAAGACAAACAGACAGGACAGAAACAATATTTGCCTCGGATCTATCGATTCGGGCGCATAATATTTGAAGTATAAGAGCATAAGAAGGGAAAATTAAAAGGGTTAATTTATATGAAAGAAGATTTAAATAAGTATGGTTATCTCAAAACTCTTTGCTGAGGTTGTATAAGTAGATTCTGTGGAGTAAGTATATGATACCTGGGCTCCTGATTGAATACAGAAATACAATCACGTAGCACCATCTTGGATTCTCTGAAGTCGATGTTTGTTTATATAACCCACAATTGGAAAAAGACACACAGTTACTCACTGCTCATACTTAATCAATGACTAAAAGCTTTAAGTATATATAAGTCAGATGTTATTGGAAAGTCATTGAACTTGATGCACTAAGTCTGGAGACTAGAGATTGAAGAGAGTCGGTTTATAAATGCTTCGACAAACCCTTTGTTTACAGACGTGTAAATGTCTAATGCATGGACTCTGGGAACTTTGATTAGAATACCTTAACACAGCATTAATTGATTTGTGGTTTGTGAATCAATGATAAATACATGTACATGTAAATCAATAATTAAACAGAATATTATCCTACAGTATACTGTCCTCCACTTCATATTACTATTCATCAGTTGGTTGTCAGATTATTTTGAAACCGTTGCTACATATATACGTAAAGGTGTGCTTCTAACAGTATAGATGTCAAAGTGACATGGTATCCAAAATATATTTAAAAGAATGCATTTTTTTGGTCATAAAATTGTTTATATACAGTATTTCAAATAGAGTTATTCAAACATAGAAATACAAATGCGGATTTTTTTTTAAAGCTGGAGGTTGAATTTTTTTGTGGAAAGATGCATACAAATAAATATTATTTGTCTGTTTTCAATTTATATTGAGTTTATAACATCTATTAATATTAAGTAGTGTTGGCAACGAGTACCCGGTTAACCGGTTAACCGTCGAAAGTTGCGAGTATCGGTTAGTAAAACTGCTATTCGGTTACTCGGATAAAATAAATTCTACATAGTAAAGGCATAGAAAATGAATGTTTTATAATTTATAAATGTATACTAACTTACACATTTCCCTAATTTTAGGTACCGTTAGATTTGATCTAGTGCATGGTTGTAGTGAATCAAATTGTTTTGATTAGTTTTCACAGTTTTTATAATTAATAGCTTTGATTGCCTGGGGTATACATATTTTGAAGGCCTGAGTGATAATTACCTCATTTGATAATTTATATAACGAGATGCCGCCGTAGACATAATAAGTTTGGAGTTGTAACAAAAGAACAGCTGATTCAAAATCTGTTAAATTTATTAATTATGGAGTATGTAAATAATTATTCTCCTTGATTGCGATATATTTCGGGGACTGAAAAAGAAAGTAAAAAATGGTGATTGACGGTGACATATTTATTTGTCTTTGTGTGTCGAATTCCCTGTTAATTTTCTTTATTTTAAAATCGAAAATCTTTGACGATATCGTATGTGTATATTGTAAATATATTGTCCCTATACAGTATATTTGCGCATTACTACAACCGGTAAGTATAGAATAAGATGAATAATAGATATCGATACTTTAACCAAAAATCATCCGAGTAACCGGGTACTCGATCGGAAGATGAACCGAGTAACCGGTTACTAAAAATCGTCCGATTTGCCAACACTAATATTAAGGTAGGTTAAATAATTCAGTTTTCAGATAAGTTTTTCTGCCTTAAAAATACTACATAAAATATACACTTAAAACGCTCTGAAACTACAAACAGTTTTTACGATTAAAATTTTAATCGATCAGCATCGATCTGTATATTTCACATATACATGTATACAAGGTGGTTGAAAAATGTAGGACTTTATGCATGACTGTTCGATAGAAATGTCTAACCTCGTATTAAATATGACTATAATTTACCAAAGCAGAATAAAATGTGGAAAATGTATACGATGGAGACATTTAAAGAGAAGATTTTCTTTACGGAAATCGATCTCTGTCTGTTGTTGATTTAATTTTTTTAAAATCACAAACAACTACTAGTATACAAAGAATATAAAGGTGTCTCTCAGGTATATAGACGCACCATAGCAGAATGTTTAAATTAGTTTGAAAGCAATTTGGCCAAAAAATTACATTTGCTTCGATGTGGTTCAGCCAAAAGTTTAGCTTATTGCAAGGAATCCTACACATGTAGCATAAACTTGAAAAATGAAAAAAAAATTCCTTAACATTTTTGATTTTGTTCTTTAAATCAATTTTCCACATTCTTCCCTTAACCACACCAAACTATTTTTTTTAAGTTAGAAAAAAACCTTTCTTGTTTTTCTCTATAGAATCATTTATTCACAACAAACCCTGCGATAATGCAGGTAGCACAGCTTTCGTGACATTGTAAATAGAGAACGTAACACCGCGGAAACACTGTATCGATTTCAGACCAGCAGAGATGTATTTATATTGTTGTAAGGTTATCATCACACGGCTGAATTCTAGATACCCGGAGTTTATATCGATAATACCCAGATACTCAGGGTCTTAAAAACACATGGGAGGATATCAAATCTAAACCTGTTTCATACACACACTGACAGATAGTTTGTTTAGTTAAGGTACCAATCGTATACAATATTCGCGTAGAATTTTGATTCTAAATCATTAAGGTTACTAGTATTTAAAAAAAAGAAAGAATTTCTGTTGACCCGTATTAATGCCCCGATCACAAAATTATTTTGTTTGTATAGGGTGTACTTTTTTTTTTAAATCTGTAAATTATCTTCACTAAAAAAAAAAACTTCAGGGTTCACAGTTGTTAGTAATCTCTTATGCATGTTAAATTTAGTTAATATGAAGTGCTTGTTTATTTTTCATCCTCCTAATAAAATTTACTAGATTTTATTTCATGATTGTTTGCTGATCGACATATTTACGAGGCTTTACGACAAGAAGAATAATTTGTTAGATTTTGGGGTATTTAATATATACACATTAAGTACATAGTCCGTTAAGTAACTTCAAAACGCCATCATGAATCATAAAATTTCTGTGTCATCTTGATATGATGACTTGAATTACAAATATTTTTTAATATTTAAAGAGTCAAACATTTACATGTATATCATGTAACTAATTCTTTTATGGTTTTTCAATGAGTTTACTTTTTTTAAACTCACTTTTATAGATAAGTTCAAATTACGTTTATATCACAAACTGACAGGTTGTATTTAAAAAGTTTCGGCAAATTAATTTGTGCCTCGTATATCATCAGTGAATGCACAAGCTCACCAACCAAAAAGCAGTCATAAACATTTTAATCGAACATTGCTATAAGGAGAAATTATTATGGTGATATATTTCAATTCCTCTGATATTTCAGATCATGCGGACCTAAAACTGCGATGGACAGATTCCTGGTTAGAGAGATTTACCAGTATTGAACTAAACAATGATGTGATTTAATAAATGAACAACGAAAGTGGCCCGCCATGAAATCTCAAATTACCGGAAGTTGTTATCACGTGATCATCAGCGTCTTCATTGTACCTGTCCTCTCAGGTGAGGTTTTTCTTCGTCTACAAAGAATAGAATGTACACGATTTATCTATTCTCAAGCAGATTTCTTGCCTCTATTACTTATATTCTATTGTTTTGCTTACGTGTTGACTGAACAAAATGTCAGTCTTGGATTGGGTAGCTTTTTGCAGTAAAAATTTAAACTGTTTATAAAAATATTGTTGAATTCATGTAGAAATTTTAAGATTATTTCAGTGAGTTAAGTTTGTTTTCATACAGAGTTATCTCCCATCAAACACATACTTCACGATTATCGGCCTTTACAATATGATCAGCTTCATCTCAAAAACCAACACGAACGCATGCGGAGATCATCGATCCACATCATGGAATTTGAATTCAGTTCTTACAACAGGTTAATTGATTCAATTGACAGTTAAAGTTTTAATCTCTTAAGTATTGGAAAAGAATACACTTTCTGAAATTTTTGAATACTAAAATAATGTGATTATTTCTTTTATTTTTAAGAAACTTTAAGGTTCGTTTAAAACGTGACACTGATGTTTTCCACTCTGACGTCACAATAGAGGGTGGTAACGGTCCAGTGAACATCGATACGTCATTTTTATATACCGGTGTTCTCAAAGGTAAACTTAATGAATAACCTGAACCAAATAAAAATTCGCACTTATCTTAGGTACCATTAGATACAATTATATTTGCAGTTTACAAATGTTAAATCGTTGAGATGTATATAATGTAAACAATGTCACGGGTCCGCTGCCCACTGGTTACTATTGGAATCCATGACGAAGTGTTTTACGGACTGACTATTGCGATTTTCTTTTTGGGAAGGGTATTAAAAATTTGCTTCTTTTAAATCTTTTTACCCATTGAATCGTGTTAAACATTCTGATGAAAGACGATTTGTATACGTAGAATGAGGTATCAACTGCTACCATTCTCTTTATAATATTAAACAACTGTTTTTGAAAATCTATAAATTTTGATTAGTGTTGACATTGAAAGAGTTTGGCATAGTGTTGACATTGAAAGAGTTTGGCATAGTGTTGACATTGAAAGAGTTTGGCATAGTGTTGACATTGAAAGAGTTTGGCATAGTGTTGACATTGAAAGAGTTTGGCAGAAAGAACGAGAAAGAAGTTCATCAGTACCCTAACAAAAAAATACTATAGTTAACTATAGTTAACTATAGTTAACTATAGTTTACTATAGTTAACTATAGTAAATCATAGTGTCAAAGTTTTCGTCAAAGTTTTTCAAAGTGTCAAAGTTTTCGCCAAAGTTTTTCAAAGTGTCAAAGTTTTCGCCAAAGTTTTTCAAAGTGTCAAAGTTTTCATCAAAGTTTTTCAAAGTGTCAAAGTTTTCGCCAAAGTTTTTCAAAGTGTCAAAGTTTTCGTCAAAGTTTTTCAAAGTGTCAAAGTTTTCCCCAAAGTTTTTCAAAGTGTCAAAGTTTTCGCCAAAGTTTTTCAAAGTGTCAAAGTTTTCGCCAAAGTTTTTCAAAGTGTCAAAGTTATCGTCAAAGTTTTTCAAAGTGTCAAAGTTTTTGCCAAAGTTTTTCAAAGTGTCAAAGTTTTCGCCAAAGTTTTTCAAAGTGTCAAAGTTTTCGATAAAGTTTTTCAAAGTGTCAAAGTTTTCGTCAAAGTTTTTCAAAGTGTCAAAGTTTTTTATAAACTTTTTCAAAGTGTCAAAGTCTTCTAAAAAGTTTTTCTAAGTGTTAAAGTATCCATATTTTTTGATAAAGTTTTTTTAAGAGGCCGTGTCAGTAACCATTGAGATTTACATGGAAAGTCAAAAATTTTGAATTGGGCAAAAACCACCCTAAAATATTTGAACAACAACAAAAAACACATTTGAGACAAATTTTACAAATTTATTCATCATCATTGGTTTCCATGGCAACAAATGTGATTTGCGTAGTAAATTCTCAACGAAACATTGAAAAATAATACAAATTTAGACATATTTAAATGCAGAGGGGGGAACAATTGGAAGGTCTAAATTTGTTTTCTTATACTGAAATAATGAAAGATGCATCAGAAGAAAATATCTTTATGTCTGTAAGTATTTTTAAAAATTTTGATATTGTTGCTATGGCAACCGAAAAATGACAAGATTTTCATGATGGGAATATCCGTGGAAAATTAAGTTTTTCAAAAGTTGAATACTTAAAAACGCAACAACCGTAGATATTGTATGTCATACAAAGTTAAAGATATATCCCAATACTATGAAATAATAAAATAAAAATTGGTAGTCGGGTGTCCCAATTTTTTTTTTCAGAAATCAAAATTTGCATTTTTTTCAAAACACTTTCAATGGACTTTGGCAAGTTTTGGCAATTTTTTTTAATATTACAACAGATATTTAACAGTTAGATGCCATATCTACAGAAACATAGTACTTAAGAAAAATTTCCATAAAATGTACGACTTTTTTACAAAACAATAGGAAAAGAAATCTCCATAGCAACGGAATTTATACCCTAGCAACTGACTTGACTATGATCGGCAAAACATGAAACATACACCCAGGAAATTAAAGCCTCTCAAGTGGAATATTTGGGTCATGGCATCCTGATCAACTGTTAACCCTGTTGTACTTACCCCATCATATAAGTAATAATAAGTACCATTGCTCTACAATGTCTAATAGTTATACAATATAGTCAGAATGTGGACCAAATACGCAAAAACTTGACCATATATGACATAACAAAAGCCGAAGTTATATGTTAAAATGACGCAATGTTCAACCCAAAGGGGCGCCAATGCTCTGTCTACTGGCTAATTTACATTGCTGTACCATGTTTATTATTCAAGTTATAAACCTAAAAACAACTAGAACTGTCCAAATGGGACAAAATACCCCCGCTGGGTTTTGTTTAGAGGTGCTAAATCATGAATATTTTATGGATCTAAGAGAAGAGAGAAAAGCTAAAACATTTTAGAGCAAATGTAATTGCTCATTAATTTCTTTATAAATGAAACGAAGGTGCAGCCTTAAAAATAGACTGAATGTATGGATCACACATGAATTATGAATTTTTTTTGTCAGTGAACTTGCATAAATGACCTTGGTTTAAAGTCATGACAAGTTCTCAGGTCAAAGCAATGTTTGTGTAAAATGGGAACCTTCCAAGTTTATCCTTAAGAAAGATATGGACCAGACATGAATTATAATTCTTTTACTGTCTGTGCACTTGAACTTGGACAATTGACCCTGGGTCAAAGTCATGACACACCCTTATGTCATAAGTGATCTTTGTGTAAACAAGAAAGTATCCAAGTTTATCAATAAGAATGATATGGACCAGGCGCAAATAATGAAGTTTTTCCTTTCAGTGACATTAAACTGACACAAAGAACCTTGGGTCAAGGTCATGACACATCCTCAAGACAATAAGCAATTTTGTGTAAAACAGGAACTTACCAAGTTTTTCCATAAGATAGATATGTACAAAACATGAATTAGGAACTTGTTGTTTTTATAACCTTGAACTTGCATAGATAACCTTGCATCAAGGTAATGATACATCCTAAGGTTATAAGGAATCTTTGTGTGAAATAGGAACTAACCAGTTTATCCATAAGCGATATATGGACCATGCACATATTAAGAAATTTTCCTTTCAGTGACCTTGAACTTAAATAACCTTTGCTGAAGGTCATAAACCCTCTTTGTGTGAAGTAGTAAATTCAAGTTTATCCAAAATAAAGATATGTACCAAACATTAATTTTACAATTTTTCTTTTAGTGACCTTGAACATGCACAGATGACCTTGGGTCAAGGTCATGACACACCCTTAGGTCATGAGGAATCTTTTTGTAAAATGGGAACTTACCAAGTTAATCCATAAGAAAGATATGGAACGGACACAAATAATGATTTTTTTCTTCCAGTGACCTTGAACTTCCCAAATGACCTTGAGTCAAGGTCATGACACACTCTTAGGTCATGAGCAATCTTTGTATGGAGTAGTAGATTCTAATGTTCCTCCGTAAGAAAGATTTGGACCGTACATGTTTGCACAGCTAGACAGACGGACGGACAGACAGACAGACAAGCTGATTCCTATATACACCCCCCCAAACTTCGTTTACAGGGGGTATAATGAGAAGATGTGTCTGTTAAACACAAGATGACCTTATACTTATTCAAATAAAAATAAACCTTAACATCAGCAAGGCTTGTGAAAATGTAGTTTACAGCAACTTTATATTTCAAGTTTTATCTCATTTAACTATCAAAGACCAATCAACTGGTCAAATATCAATGCTCACTAAAAGTATCACAGATATGAACGTAAAACAAGAGTTTTCCATTGAAAATGTGTGTCTCAGGAATGACATATCAAATTGTGACAGACAGATAAACTGATGGTCAGCTAGTCAGACTGACAGACAATGGAGAAGTGATCCCTAAGAGTCCCCTTGCTATGCAGGCGACACAACTAGGCACCATTACAGCATATCTTGTACCTGATTCTGAGACTGAATTTTTTCTGAAGTGTACAGTCAAATATTTTACAGAAATATTTTGCTAGAAATAATAACATATCGTATAAGTGGAAATTTTAGCAAGATGCAAATTTAGCGATTTCTACCAAAGTCTGGTATTTGATTTTTAGCCAGAAGTAATTTTAGCGATTTTGAAATGTTTACTAAAGAAGCTATTACAAATAATAAGACATTAATTTTTAGCAATATTCAATTTTAGCGATGTCAGCACCCTCTCTAATAATGCCAAAATTAAATCCTCGCTAAAAATTCTACTTATACAATATGTTCTTCAAAGTACATTTATGCACAGTAAACAAGAAGTATGACACATTTGATTTTAGATATTATCTATTTTAACCAACTAGAGCTAGAGCAGTATAATCCAAGTGTTGTCCACAGACAGATGGACAAACAAACAGGGTGTTTCCTATATCCCCCTACCAAAAACTTTGATATCAAAATCTTAAACTTAGTAAGAAAATGTTTTTTAGTTCACTGCTTTAAGAGCCATATCAGAAATCTGATTCAAATTGTTCATGTTCCCTTCAGCTGTCAAGTCATTTTCTTCACAGTCAGTGTTAGACCTCTGCCTTTTCACCAATGGCATCAAGATACATAATCAAGGTCTTCCTTCTATGTAATGGACTATCTTCATGCTCTTGAGAATCCTGGCATTCAGATGACTTTCACAAGGTGTTTGGAAAAGTTGTCGTCTGAAGTTGATTCCACCTACAAAAGAAAGATACAAAATCAATCCAACTAACAACTTCATTTAAAACAAGTTCATTTTGACACAAATGTTACTCATGCTGAGACAGTGTTTCACAGCCCTGAGCCAAAGTCACACCTTCAATGTCAAGGTCAAGGTAAAATTTGATAGAGTTTTCAGGTCTGTATTTCTATTAGCTGCAATAATGTAGCCCTCTCCGATTTTTTTTTTTTTGGGAGAGGGCTACAACTCCTTAGGATCTCTATAATGGCGCAGATGCGGCAGTGGATCACTCCCGCACGGATTTCGGCTCAAATTATCAGTAAACGGCTATTTTATTGTCATCTCTTACCTGGAATCCAAATATGTAATTATGCAAAACATAAATCGATCCAAAAATATTCACAACGATCCATATATCGGTTATTTTTTGTGTGTGTCAACAGCTTAACTTGAATTTATCCGCCATGTTTACTGACCTTGATGGATTGTATTTTGGGACAGCCAATGAGAATTTAGGTTCTATAGGAGCGGATCTACTAGGAATTCCCTTATTCTAAGCATACGTATCGCTGTTTGCGCAAAAATAACACTTGAAATGGTTTTATTTATCGATGTTTTTGTAATATATTATAGCACAATCGTTTATAAACATCGACATTTGCTTTATTTGGTTGTTCCAAATTTCAAGCGAAAGTCTCACTACATCACGCGTGAACTGTCATGGCTGCTGAATATTGCAGCTGGGAAAGACACAGATTTATTTTACATGGTTTTCGAGTTTAACAGGCTATGTTGTTGACAGTGAATAAAAATTCCGTCTTATAAGAAGTAAGTTTAATGTAAAAATATTTTTTTTGCCTTCAAACACCCGTATCAAAAAAATATATTTGCACCATTACGGAGATGCTATGGAATTGTAGCCCTCTCCAGAAAATAACAGATAAAAAAAATCGGAGAGGGCTACATTATTGCAGCTATATTTCTATATGCCTCATGGAACAGCTTCATACTTGGCATACAATGCTCCTAATGATAAGGTGGTGTGACATGACCCTAACTCAATGTCAAACTTCAGTGCTAAGGTCACAGTAGACTTCAATGAAATTGTCTTATCTGAAATGCATTTCATAAAGGTTACTGACGTTGGTGTAATTTAAAAGAACTTAATTAGTGGATTATGTATACAAATTATGATCTCACAATTCAAAAGTCATGGTAAAGGTTAAAGCTGACAACAGATAGACAGAAAGGACAAACAAAAATATGTTCATGCTCTTTGGGCATTATAATTCAGTACATGTAAAAATTTCAATACAAACCTTTAATTGTTCCACATTAATTGGATCTGCTTGTACTTCATGGTTATTTGTTAGTTCACATTGCAACTGATTATCATCATGATTCTCCTGAAAATATTTTAGACCTGTTTACAAACTTACTTGAGCCTATAGCATATATAGTGACTGGGATATGATATAAGACATTAAACTGGACAAAGGGGATACTCCAATTTAGTCTCACATTTTCAGAATTATCGTATTCAGAAGTTGTGCCCAACCTGATAAGGGCTTAGGAGGAATAGCACCCCACCCACTCCTTACTTTTTTGGGAAGTCAAAATTTCCTGTAGTTAAAATTTATAAATCCTGGTTCCCCTCCCCTCCACTTTAAGGGTCAGGAGCAAATTTTGAAGCCAGAGTTGAGTTTGTTATCCTAGTTTCCCTTCCCCTTTTCAAATCAATATTAGCAACCTCACGTATTGTCATCTTGTTTTAGTGTAGCTGCAGAACTGTAGCTTTCCGAAAAAATATATATTGATAGACCTGAGATAATGAGGTATAGCGGGTATGGCTATGAATTTTTTATGAAATATTGTTTGAAATATTACTTATCAAAAGAACACTAATATGCAGACATACACGATTGGAAATCTACCAATTTGACCTTATCAGTGATTGATGAATATGCTCTAAATAATAAAGTCTGAAATATCTGGCATTTTTCAGGTTTTTTTTTTTAATATTTTCTGTGCCAGGAAAACGTCAGAACCAGCGCCATTACGAAAACTGGAAATTTCGCCATTTCCAGTCAGAGTTGATTTCCCATACCTGGGAACCGCATAAAATGCCGTAGTTACAATTAATCAATGGCACAATGCTTTTAGTACTTGACAATATCAATGAAAAGAAAAAATAATCACTCATCATTTCGATACAGGACTTGTATATTTTTTTTAATTTGTAAACGCACGAAATGAAAACAAATCTCGACAGTCAGAGAAAATGTTTCCATCGGATCATGGATAATATATTTACAAACAAACCATAAAAACTATATTGTTAAGTACTAGAGGCATTGTACTATTGATAAATTGTGAGTTTGACAAGTAATTGCAAGTATCGAAAATACACCCGAGAATGCCGCCTCTGCTTGGAATTCCCAGTTTTCGTATGGCGTTTTCCTCGCACGTAAAATATAGAAATAGTTAAAAAGCCAGGAAAACGTCAGATATTTCGGACTATTTATAGTACTTTTCAGTCACCTACAAACTCTTGATGCTGTCATGTCCTCTGTAACCGCACAAGACCTGCTTTATACATCTTTACATGGTGTTTTTCTTCTCCGACTTCTGCTGTAACAGCAACTTTCTGTTCTTTATCAGCAGGAGAGTTCCACAAAAGGGAGATAATCGTTCACGCGTTTTCATATTTGTGGTACATTCTAAATCAAATTATTTGCTATAGAGTACCCAACTACCATTTTTTATTATTGGATTTATAACTTCAGAGCTCGTAATTTCTATTGCATATATGATTATGATAGAGTTTGGTTGCGTTTTCGTGTAAAATATTTATAAAAATCATGTTGATTTTACAGCATTTGGTAGAAACAAAGCAAAGTAGGCCCCAATGCTTTAAAATAAACATGGGAAAAATTTAATCTCCCATATATATTGAAATTAAGAAAAACATAGTTTGATTTTGTAATTAATTTTGACAGGGTTATCAATAATCAAATTTCACACTTTTCAAGCATTAAAATCACCGTTGCTATGGTAACAAGGATTATGTGACCCAAATAACTCATGTTTGAAAGGACATTCATCTATACTTCCATGCACCCAAATATTAAAGCAAAATATTTTTTTTCACATTCCACTCACTTTATATACAATACTCAATGGTTACTGACAGGCCTCTTAAGTATCAAAGTTGTCGATAAACTTTTTCAAAGTGTCTAAATTTTCAATAAAGTTTTTCAAAGTGTCAAAGTCTTCGATAAAGTTTTTCGAAGTATTAAAGTATCCAAGTTTTAGATAAAGTTTTTTTAAGTATCAAAGTTGTCGATAAACTTTTTCAAAGTGTCTAAGTTTTCAATTAAATTTTTCAAAGTGTCAAAGTCTTCAATAAAGTCTTTCCAAGTATCAAAATTTTCGATAAAGTTTTTCGAAGTATCAAAATTTTCGATAAAGTTTTTCGAAGTATCAAAATTTTCGATAAAGTTATTCAAAGTGTCAAAGTTTTCGTCAAAGTTTTTCAAAATGTCAAAGTTTTCGCCAAAGTTTTTCAAAGTGTCAAAGTTTTCGCCAAAGTTTTTCAAAGTGTCAAAGTTTTCATCAAAGTTTTTCAAAGTGTCAAAGTTTTCGCCAAAGTTTTTCAAAGTGTCAAAGTTTTCGCCAAAGTTTTTTAAAGTGTCAAAGTTTTTGCCAAAGTTTTTCAAAGTGTCAAAGTTTTCGCCAAAGTTTTTCAAAGTGTCAAAGTTTTCGCCAAAGTTTTTCAAAGTGTCAAAGTTTTCGCCAAAGTTTTTCAAAGTGTCAAAGTTTTTGCTTAAGTTTTTCAAAGTGTCAAAGTTTTCGTCAAAGTTTTTCAAAGTGTCAAAGTTATCACTATAGTAAATCAAAGTTTTCAAAGTGTCAAAGTTATAACTATAGTTAACTATAGTAAACTATAGTTACTTATAGTTAACTATAGTTAACTATAGTTAACTATAGTATTTTTTGTTAGGGTAATCCAGGACTACTTGCTCTTGAACCTTTTGCTTTGTTAAGATGGGTTTATAACTTTTCAGTGATTTGTCAATGAGACTTTTACTTCCATTCATCTTTTTAGATGAGCACTCTAAAGTATACGGCCTAGTCAATCCGGATGGTCATTTTCAAGGACAAATACACACAGCAGATATGACTTACTTTGTTGAACCTTCGACATTATACTTCAAAAGTCCACAACCATTCCATTCCATCATCTACACACTTGCAGACGTCAATTATAATATGACGTCATCATTTTGCCATGCGGATAGCGCGAGACAAGGGATCATGGAAAGTATACCTGTCCTTTCAAAGACTGACCAATGGAAAAACAGATATACATTTGATGCAGAAACACAGGAACGTCGAAAAAGAGCAGTTGATCCAGCAAAGACTATTTGTTCTTTATATATGCAGGCGGATCATACTTTTTACCAGAAATTCAGTAGCAACATAGACACAGTAGTAGCCCAGCTCGGTGTATACGTGCAGGCGATTAACAATATATTTAAACCTATAGGTGAGTTCTACATCACATAAACAGAGGTGTATACGTGCAGGCGATTAACAATATATTTAAACCTATAGGTGAGTTCTACATCACATAAACAGAGGTGTATACGTGCAGGCGATTAACAATATATTTAAACCTATAGGTAAGTAGTGTTTACATGCAGGCAATAAGCAATATATTTAAACCTATAGGAAAGTAGGGTGTACATGCAGGCGATTAACAATATATTTAAAGTTTTAGTTGAGTTCTACATCTTAGATGTAAACATAAGGCAATTAACAATATATCTAAACCTATAGCCGAGTTCTACATCATAGATCAGATGTATACGTGCAGGTGATTAACAATATTTTTAAACCTATGTGATGTTCCGCATCATATGAATTTAGGTGTATACGTAAAAGCGATTTATAGTATATTTAAACCTTTAGGTAAGTTATGTTTCATATAAATTGGGGTGAATACGTGCAGGCGATTGAAAATATATTTAAACCTTTAGATGAGTTATACATCACATAAACAGATTGATATATGTGCAGGCGATTAAAAATATATTTAAACCTATAGGTAAGTAGTTATACGTGCAGGCGATATGTTTTAATATCTAGGTAAGTTCGGCACCTTATAATTTCAGGTTTATACATGCAGGCGATTAACAACATATTAAATCTATAGGCAAGTTCTGCATCATATACTAGTAAATTTAGCTGAACATGTATACGTACAAGCGATTTATGAGATATTCAAATCTTTAGGAAAGTTATGTGTCATATAAATTGGGTTGTATACTAGTACGTGAAGCAATTAATATATTTATACCTATAGGTGAGTTGTGTGTCTTATAAATTGCGGTGATTAACAATATATTTAAACCTATAGGTAAGTAGTAAATGTATCTGTAAAGGCGATAAACAATATGTTTCAGCCTGTGGATAAGTTCCACACCACATAAATTGAGATGCGTTCGTGCAGGCGGTTTACAATATATTTTAAATATAAGGGACACAGTACAAACTTATGACATCACTGATCATCTTACATTTGCTATCCTTGTTATCAATTATTGAGTAAGCCTTTAAATAATGCTCTTATTACTGATTACACTGTATTAACGTACCTTATCACTTTGCATATAACTTTACATACTAGTAAATAGCTGTGGTATCAATGTTTCTCTTAACACGCGAGTAACAAGGTAATGAAACCAGGGGTTCCAAGGGAACCTCGGACACTTTGTAAATAAGAAGGAACACATAAAACGTATGAAATACGCATCATTTAATGAACTCAATGCAATACATTGCTGTAAAGTGGCAAGAGAGTTGTTTAAACTATTTACTTAGTATAACTATTTACTTTAGTATAACTAGAATAATATCTCCACAGATTTTGATGAAAATAGTAACGCTGACAACATTGGATTTCAAGTAAAGAGGATGAAAGTGCACACGGACCCAAACGCCCCTGGGTACAAATTGAATGGCGCCTTCAGCGTTGAGAAGTTTCTTGACCTCCATTCCACCGCTGATTACGATGATTTTTGTTTGTCCTACATGTTCGCGGACCGTGACTTTGACGGCGGTGTCCTCGGTCTCGCTTGGGTGGCGTCCTTGACGAAGGCTGGCGGCGTCTGTGAGATATACAGGGTACGATATGTGTAGGCATTGAATTCTCAGTTTATTTTAAATAAAATTCCTATTTATTTAATACTATTAGTATGCCTAGTGGGGTGTGTCCTGATTTATGACCTTGAATTTTGGTAAGAGTTATCTCCCGTATTTTTAATTAACCAAAAAAAAAATCAATTCAAAAAAATTTAGACGGTAAAAAAATTGTTTTCAATTGTCATTCTATTTTTAATAATTCAATGCATCTTTTCACCGCAGGATTTATGGATATTCAAATTATTTGAATTTTTATTTTGAAAAAACGCTTTTTCCCATAGACTTCAAGGCAATCTTTTTAAATTAACTACTGCTTAATTATTAAAATTTTTCAAACTTTCTCGCGGGCAATCCTTTTCCACTATAAAATGCTTTAATATAATATCAGATTAATATGTACTTGACGGACATTTAAGGGTAGAGAATTTGGTCCCATTAGGGATGGAAATCCTTAATATACTTCTGTTATAAACTGGTTTCTTTGAAATCAGTGTATTTGATTTTTTAAAACTGAGTTGCATCTGTCGGACATTTTATAATGTTTAAAGCAAATAGCAGTATTAAAAACATATATATCATTTTGATGTTTCAGAGTTATAGTGGAGAATCCAAGAGTCTAAATACCGGAATCGTGACGGTCAAGAATTACGGAGCCGAGGTAGCTTCAGTTGTTACCCAGGTGACTTTTGCTCACGAAGTCGGACACAATTTTGGATCAGACGTAAGATTTTCATAGTTTAATTTTTTTCTTTGTTTGTATGTTGTTCAATGTCCCTCTCGAGAATGTTTCACCCATACTGAGATGACAATACTTGCCGGTTATGAGCTGTGAATTTGTCCTAGACCCAGCTCTCAGGGACATTGAGCAGGGAGGGATCTTTAACATGCCACAAACTTCTTTGACAAGAGACCTTTAGCTTGGTTTCTCATCTGAAGGACCGATCTCTACTTCCCACAGAGGGATTCGAACCCGCGAAGTAAGGATCAACTCCTTACTACGCGAATTAGAGTAGACGCTCTCACGCGGGCAACTTATTCATTATGTGTTACAATATTTAGGAAGTGTTTTGTTCAAAATTAGAGCAGAGACAATCATTTTCAGTGGTAAATTATTTACTAGATGAAGAAGTGTTGATGTGATCACATCTCGTGCATTGCTCTGTTAAGAACTGTGTGAAAGTAATCCTAAATAAATATATCTTGTCAAAGTCCTTTTTTTAATTAATGCAGCATGACACTGACGGATCAACATGTGCCCCAGGTGGATCAGACGGAAACTACATAATGTATGCACGCGCAACTTCCGGCTATTTACCGAACAACAACAAGTTCTCAAGCTGTAGTATCAAGCAGATGGCGCCAATCATTGAAGAGAAAGGTCGAAGTTCAAGCACTGGCTGTTTTATAGGTTTGACTTAAACTTATTACTTTGATTTCATGACATGTTGGTGTGAAAAAGTATACAACGCCAATGCGTTCATGTATACACTTAAAATACTCATAATAATCAATAGTTTTTGTAAAATCTATTCTCCGTAAAGTAGAAAAACAAATTTTTGAACAAGGAAAGTTAAGTTTCTCAATCTTCAATTCAAGTCCTTTAAAAAAACAATCAAAAATTCATTGAAACTTCGTTCCGGTATATACTGTAAAATTTGTTATGTATTAACTATTATAAATAAATGGATTCATTTATGAAATTTATGTTTTGAATTTCCCGCCAATAGCTCCGACTGGTCACGTGTGTGGGAATAAAATAGTGGAGAGCCCGGATGAGGAATGTGACTGTGGCTGGGAGGATGATTGTAGGGAGACGTGCTGTATTCCTGCTGGATCCGCCACTAATCCCTGTAAATACAATAATACAGGGGGACTGGCGAATTTTTGTAGGTAAGGAAAATTTTAAATCCTATGGGATCAGTTAATTCCTTTAAATGCAATTCCTTTAAGAGATATTGTAGGTTAAGAGTTGAGTTGTAATCCCATGGGATTAGTTAACCCGTTTAAAATAAGGTAATGTTGTAAGTTTAACAGGGTAAGGGATTGTGTTGATTATCTCATGGGATTTGTAGGTTAGGAGTTGTGCTGTAATCCAAAGGAATTGGTTTATAATTCATTTTAAATACCGCAATCATTATGCTGGAAGTTTTACTGGATTTAATTGGTCAAAGTCGTGTTGTAATCCCACGGGATTAGCTAATCCCTGTAAATACAACAGTTCCAGGAGAATTTGTAGGTTAGGCGTTGTGTTGTTATCCCATGGGATTAGCTAGTCCGTGTAAATACATTATACAGCAATTATGGATAAACTTTTATCAAATATGGAGAGATAGTGGGATTTGTAGCGTGAATTCAAGATGCAAGTTACAAAAACTTGTAATCGTAGAAAGATGACATTTATATTTGATAAAATTATTAATCGTGTAATGAAATAGAAAACTTAATATTTATTTTATTTTATTTGTACACAGCCCGAGTGAAGGCCCCTGCTGTGGATCAGACTGTCAGAAGATGACTTCCGGTGTTTGCCGGGGGAACACTTCCTGTCTAGCTGCCGCCACTTGCGAATATCCTTTTTAAAGAAAAATTCCAATACAAGATCATCTTCGCTAGCCAAGGGTTTCTGATACGCTACTCTCCTCATAAAACCCTTGGCCTACGGTGTTCATAGAAATAGGGATTTTTTTCCAGAGTACTGATTGGATTTCAGTACACCCAGGTCGTTTTTTGTAAATGACGATATTTGCGTTCGGGATACATCTTCACTCTTTAATCTCGGAAATTAAAAACGCAAGAAAACAACGATCTGTAAGATAACATTATTTTAATTCTATGAATAGCCATGGTGTCATCCGATATCTTCTAAATATGTGATTAAGAATCTATATTGAAGCTTCAGATTTGTTCTATAAATAATGAATAAACATAACTCAATTATTGCTTCTTAATTATTCTTGAAAAAACTTTGATTTAATTTTTTTTAACACGTGTCTTTATTTCTGGCGATGACGCAATCTGTGCGTACCTGATAGATTCGAGATCACTCTTTTGACTTCACCGTAGGCCAAGGGTTTATGAGGAGAGGAGCGTATCAGAAACCCTTGGCTAGCGAAGATGATACAAGTTTAATATTGTTTTTCAATTTTGTTTAATTTAAACAATGGATATTTTGTAAGAAATAGAAATAAGGGAGTCAATTTATCTTAACTTACTCACTGGTTCAGGGGTCACGTGCCCTCCATCTTCACCGGAACCAAACGGGACCGCATGCGCGGACGGGCAAGTTTGCTTCTTGGGGGTAAGTAAGTTTTTTCATACGAAAAGTTAGTTAGAATAATCTAACTGTGTCTCGGTACAAACCCTCACCACAGTTAGAATACGTCCCATATTCTTGCAATGTAGCAAATCGGAGCGGATCCGCTCCGAAGAATATAAAAGGATTTGCACTGGAAATAACTACCAAATAAATCAAAACAAACCTTTTTTGAGATTGTATATATGCCTTTTATCCCAAAAAATAATCCATATAAAAACGAAAATCCAATTAATTTTCTCAGCGTTTTCCTCTCGCTTCAAATTTACCTGCCATGTTTACAATCGGAACTATCTGGATTGTTCATAGTAAATGCACAGAGAATGACTTTTCTACGAGTTATCGCCCATGTTTCTTGTGCTACGTTATGAATGTACACAGAACGAATTCTATCGTTCGGGCTTCAAATTTACCATCGAGCATCGACTTATATGATGGCGCGATAATGCGATGACGCGATAACGATGAAGCGATGGTGCGATGACGATAAAGCTATGGTGCGATAGCGCGATGACGATGTGCGATGGCGCGATAGCGCGATGACGATGATGCGATAGAACGAGAGAAGTGAATATCGCTTTCGTCATCGTACCATCGCGCCATCGTTATCGCACCATAGTGTCATCGCTATCGCACCATCGCGTCATCGCACTATCGCGTCATCGCATTATCTTACCATCGTCATCGCATTGTCGCGCCATAGCATCATCGTCATCGCGCTATCGCACCATCGCTTCATCGTTATCGCACCATCGCTTCATCGTCATCGCATTATCGCTTCATCGCACTATCTACCTAAACCTCGATGGCGTGATGATGCGATAGTGAACTGCGTGGCCCTATCCGGATTCCATACATTATCATTTTAACGATAGAACGTTCTGTCTAACTAAAAGTTTGTTTAAAATGTTTGGGTTTAAAGTATCCACTGTAAAAAATTCATATTTATTATATTTTTTCTGGTTAGGGACTAATGTATTTGTCAATTAATGGCGGATGTATTCGAAAAAATAATTATTAAAGTGAGCATATACGACATCTTAAATGCATCTCAGTGTTACATTACTTAGTTTCGGATGTTGTGGCAGTCAACATCTTGTCCGAATCATGTAAAAACCCAAACAAAATTAATGTGACAAAAAAAAAATGATCAAGAAACGAAAATATCTAGCTTCTCTCTGACCAGACTTCCGTTTTCTCTTTATAAGTGTTCTGCCTTGATGTGCCTGTCTGAGGGTCTCGAGTCTTGTCTTTGTCTAGCCTCATTTTGAAATTAGTTCAGCCTCGGCGTGTCTGGCTAAGGGTCTTGTTTCTAGCCTCGTTTTGACGTAACTTTTTTTCTTTTTAGGAGTGTTCTGCCTCTGTCTGCCTGGCTAAGGGCCTGGAGTCCTGTCAGTGCCCCGGGACCGGCTGGAAGGACGCCAACCTCTGTCGCCTCTGTTGTCTTGTCAACGACACGTGCCAGTTTGAAGCTGGTAACGCTTTTACCGGTGCCCCGTGTAATGATTTCAAGGGTTACTGTGACGTCTTTCACGTGTGTCGGGAGGTAAGGTATCCTTGCTAGCGCTCTCTGATGATCAGCAAACTACTCTAGTGGCGTGTTAAAGGTCCCGCGTTTAATTCAAAACGGAGATTGTTTATAATACATGAAGTAGTTTCTTTATATATAAAATTGTCCCCTAGAGTATTCACTAACGCTCATAATGGCTGTAAAAATTTGTGAATTGAATCAGCAACTGTTTGAATGTTTTTGAGAAAAAAAAGATTATGTTAATCGATTTTTTATAATAGAAATAAAATGAATTTAAATAATATAACTCGCTGATTGAATGCAAAAATGAATTAAAAATAAATTTTGTAAATATTTTTTTACAGGTTGATCCAACAGGGCCTTTGAGTAACATCCGGAAGTTGCTATTGTCCGGTGACGTCATAAACACGGTGAAGACATTCCTGACGGAGAAATGGTGGGTGGCGGTGCTCGGGGCCCTCGGTCTCTTTATTGTCATGGTACGTCATAGATAACTGAGCTCATTAAGTTGTACAATATCAAGTAATTCATAACTGACGTAATTAAGTGGTACATTAATGATGTTAGATTGAATTAAAAAGCCTTACAATATATCTAAAAATCTAACCTCTTACGTGATCAGAGGTCATTTGAATTGAAAGTGAGATGAAACCGCAGCAGCGGCCCTTTGCTTCAATGGTAGAAGAAAATTTAATACCGGCATGAATTAGATATTTTAATTAAATCCACCAAAACGGTTGATAATAGGTTGTTTTTTTTTTGTTTTTTTTTGCTCCTAGGATGTTTTATTTTTTTTTTAATTCAGGGTCTGTTCATCAAATTTTGCTCCAAGAGCCATGGGCCTAGAAAAGAGAAGAGCGGTGGAAAGAGAGATAATCGCGTCAGACCTTTTCCGCCAGAGAGTCATATGTAAATAATGTAATTCTCTATAGAGCCTACAAGACCTGACAGTTATCTCCTGTACTAAGCTTACAAAAGTATTGACGATATCTGTACATTTTTATTGTCACATCATAATATTTTTTTTTTACATCAATAGCATCGAGACACTTTATGACATTTTTACATATTGTATTTTAACCATCTTTGTATGATTAAACCTCCATCGATAGAAAGCAGAGAAGAAAAACACCTTTTAAATATTTTCTGTGCTGTGTTGATCTTAAGTTAGTTTTTGATTTTTTGAGTGCATTATTTTGTCTATTTCTTATATGTTTACATGCTATTAATATCAGCTGTATTTATTTTGTTTTCTCAAGTGAAAACTGCATTCCGTCCAACCGAAAAATCAAAAGTTTTAATTTTGTAAATATTAATTGTTTTGCACTGTTGATGTTTGTAATGATTTGTATTGTTTCTTACTGTGATAATAAAATTGACTTTGATATACCTGTGTTCTTGAAATTTATGAGCGGAATGAATGTCCTCTCCGTAAGGCGTCCGAAACTGTACTGTTAATACATTTTCTATTGAATACAATGAAATTATTCCCTCTCTTTCTATTTCTTCCTCTCTCTTTCTCTCGATGAGATTTTAAAATTTTGATTGTCTCTCTTCTTCTTGTCCTTTCTCCCTCGCCCAACCTTCAAAATGTTTATATCCTACAATAAAATTGAAGAGTGTTACATCTACAAATACTCTATAAATTACCAACGATTTTAGTTTTAACAAATAACGTATAGAATGTTTACATCTTTAAAACAATGTTCCGTCCTCCACCTATCATGTGAATTAAGACATGTTTTAAGACAGATCTTTAAAACTCAATTTAATTATTCCTTAAAACATCACGATCCCGGCTTTTGTTTACAGACATTGCTTTAGCGACCAGCGGCCACGCGATCAACTGACCGGGTTTTAATGACTGGACAATCTAATTGTTGACATTTCTTCTTATTTTTCTTTTCGCCAAGTTTCTATTTTCTTTTAAAATTCACAGGCCAAGAGAATCAATTTTCTGTTGCATGCAAGTGTTCGTTGTTCAGAAGTTTAAATAATATATTACTATTTTAAGCCAGAAGTCATATTTTTTTTTGTACCCCGCCTTTTAAGCAATCAGAAATTAGCATGAACTACGTTATGATTTAATTGCTAAAAAGATAACTTAATAAAATAAAGATTCTGGAAGAGTTGTAAACCTTCATATATAACTTCGTTTTTAAAAAAATATTCAAGCCTTAAAATCCATAGCCATAAACTGCATAAGTCTCCTTAGTATATACAAGTAGTTACAAAAGGGGAATGGTACTGCGATAAGATAGAATAAAATCTAAACTGATAAACATATAATGTGTTGTATTGGCCTTAAGTCTTAAAACACACACACTTTGTACATCTGAACTCTAAATTCCCTTTACTTATATGTATATATGTTCACTTTTAAATAACAGTACAATAAAGAGTTGATCAACCCTTAAACCAGCAGGGAAATTTATAACACTAGGGATCTCAACACTGTTTGTTTTAACGCTACTAAAATGGCTGAGAATGCAGTGAAATAATTTAACTTCCTTTTTACGTGTTGATCGATATTCATGGAGAGCGTAATTTGACCATAAATTCAATTTTCCGGAATCAGTCATTTTCTCCTTCTTTGAAGTTGCCACGAGAAAAGGCGATTGTTGTGTCATTAAAAAAACCTTAGGACGAATCTCGTAGAGAGAGAATTTTACTTTCTTTAGATCATGGTGTCTACATGGGTGTAGACTTCAGATTGGATCCTTGGGCCTATATTGAGTAATTACTGTAAACAATCAGTTCATAAACTTTGATCCACCCCACAAGATGCCTAGGAGAGTACATCCAAACGAACGGCGGGAAGACCGGGACCCGAATAAACTGAACCAGCATCTGAAGGTACGTCATTAGGTATGGCGCGGATCTAAGTGTAATTAATGACTTAACTATTCTTGAGGGACGCGAGTATGTGTGGCGCGGATCTAAGTGTAATTTATGTTTAATATCGAGAGGTATTTGATTCCTAACAAGTAAATATGTGTAACATCTGCAATCTTTTATAGCAGGCGATTATATGGCGCGGATCTCACTCATTTACCTGTCTGAAAATTGATATTTTTGTAACGGCAGTGTGGCATGAATATTGATATTTTTCAAGACTTCCGCAACCTTTTTTCATCCGAAAGACAGATTTGTAGCCTTTCAATCGTAGAAATTCTCTTTAACACAGTTTTCCTTGTCTGCTTAAAAATTAATTTTAAGTCAAGTCATGATGATGCAAAACAATAATGTTTTGTTTTCGATTGTAATTTTCCAGAACTCGACTTCTACTACATGTATATAAAACAAATGCTAGTTATAAATCAGGAATGATTGACAGTCAAAATAAAAAAAAACTTTCTTATTAACTTGATTTTTCTTCCTGGAATGAAACCCTGATTGGTAAATAAAATTCTATTCTATTCTATTCTATTCTATATATTACACATTTTTCTAAACAAAATAAAAGATCTCTGTTCCATTTTCTTCAGAGCGCCTTCAGTGACGTCATAGGAGAACGGAGAGCGTTACGTAGCGTGGAGATTGTGTGGGTGTGTTCCCAGGAGTGCTACACATTCTTCCACTCCTGTTGCTATGGTTTTGTGTCTTTTCTCCTGGCGCCATTCCTCGCCATCGGCTGGGGATGTACATTCGCTTTCACAGCTTTTAAACACATATGGTGTCTAACCCCAATATTCAAGAACTGTTATATCTGCTGCGAGAGTTTTTTCGGACGCTGCATGCGTTCCATTCTGAATTGTTGTGTCACACCTTGGACTAATTCTTGCGGAGGAATATTTGTTGCGTTTCATAAAGACATACCGGAAGCAGTGGTCGTACATCCCAAACCGAGGCAAACAAAAGTATCGTCACGTGACAAGAAAAACGAAGATCAAGAACCAGCAAAAGACCCAGAACCGGAAAAGAAAGTCCTTTTGGCGGCGCCAGTTGTCATGCGGGATTCTAGTTTTTTCTCCGGAAATAAAATACAGGCGAACAAATCAATACAGCGACAGCTGGGCCTCTATCAATGAACTGAAGAAAAGAAAAACATAACAATTACATTTCCTTTTTTCAGTTTTTCAACGATAAAATTCAAATATTATTGCAGTTTCATAACTGTGTAACTTTTATTTATAATTTTATTTATTTATTTATTTATTTTTATCAATAATTAATTTTTTTTTTGCGTACAGTCACATTTTTTTTATTACTGCAAAGATTAAAGTACAAAACGCAAGTAACAGTAAGATTGTATTCTTATCTGATCGATTGAATTTTGCAATTTCAAACTGTAACGTCTTTTCTGTTGACGCATGTGTGAGCCTATTACTGTAAAATTACATATTTTTGTGGGGCCAAATTTTCAAGGTTTGACGTAAAAAACATAGGTTTATGGGACTTTATTCTGTGGTTGGAGAAAGCTTTATAGTAACGCTTTAGAAATTTAAAATTTCCTAGTGATGATGAATTTGTGGTTCTCTCCATGCCTAAAAAAACAGCGAAATTTAGAAACACACGAAAAAGAAGAAGTGATTTTTACATTTGTTACTACAAGTGTATGTAACTTTATGTCATTATACATGTACATTATACGGCTGTTGCTTGATAAACTTTTTATAAATCTGCACCATATTCTCTGTTTGTCATAAACTCAGTTTTAGGAGAGATTTCCTAATAACTTAATGTGTACATGTACTAAGTCTTGTAGAGCCAAACATCATTTTCAAAATGTACATGAAGGGAATTTTAAAACCATAAGTCTCCAAACATCGAGAACAAAAAGTCAACGTATATCATTTGTATATCAAAGTATGCTTTTTTTCTACTATGATAGTAAAAAAAAAATTTTAAAGAATACAATTTCTTTAAAGATTTACTTCGCATAAAACTACAAAGGAAACCTTAAGTCTGGATAAAAATTCAAACAACATCGTCAGTCAGATTTGCTTATTGTTTTTTAATAAATATATTTATATGAATATTTGTTTTATTTTACTTCAATTGACATAAGGTTATAACATAATGTGAAAGAGCTAAAACTTTAATACTTTGTAATTAAAGATATTTCATGTATTCGTTGGATTAAATGTTATACATGCAGAGATTTCTTTTTTACAAATTGCCTGTGAACTGAAATAAAGATTTGTCTGAGTTCTCGCTTGCTACCTTAATTTCGGCCTTCCATGATAAACAGAGATGATATACTTTGCATTCTTAATCTTTTTAATTTTTTTTTATCTGTTTACTTATTTATTTGATGAGAGGAAAAAGTATTTCTTTATTTGTTGGATGGTTGTATGGAAGGGAATTACCGCCAAAAGTCTATTTATCTTGCTTTTATTCTTATTCTGCCTAATTCTTTATGCTTTGTTATTATTGTAATTATATGTCACTTTACTGTTTCCATATTCGTCTTTATTACATTTCACTTTGACTTTTATCATTCTTCATTTTGTCTTTACTTCTATTTGCTTTATTCTTGTAAATTCATTCTACTTTCTTTTAAACTTAAACAGTTTCTTTAATAAATTATTAGCATTATCTCTACTACGAATGTTAATTCAATCACACTAACAATGAAGCATATTCAATGAAGACGAATGGAAGTTGTCAAACCGTCAAAATTTAGTGCGGCATTATAACGCTAGGTGGCGTGTTGTTCGCTACGAGTGTTGGTAAAACTAGGTAAGCAAACCGGGGTCGGGTTATTGAGATTTTTCAAAACGCCTTAATACTTTATCAATCGAACTTCAGAAGGCCGGATCCGATCTCCCGATCCAACGACGGAAACTCCATATTTATTTTCTCTGGGCACACAGGAATAGCGGCTTCTTGGTTTCCGACGCCTATGTATTTTCAAGTTTGGACAATTTCCTGGGGTTTATTTTGCGCTTGTCAAGTTGTTTTCAGCTGGGTAGCTTGAATATTTTTTCTCTTGTTGCCCCCCTCCCAACGTTTAAAAACGATGCTACGTCACTGTTCTCTCGCCTGAAAAAATATATCTCTACTAAAGTTATTTGTTGAATATTTGAATTACAGTTTAATTGTTATAAAAATGTTAAATATTTTGATACTAGTTAACCCTTATAAATTGGGTTGTTTTTCAGAACCTTCCACTGAACTGAACTTTATTTCACGACAGATAATAACTGTACGCATATGCTGATGCGCGTGATTCTAGGGACAGGACTTTGCAAAGGAGTCTGGAGCGTTATGGGTAGGCAGGCGCGGATCCAGAATTTTTTTCCAGGGGGGGGGGGGGGCAAGTAAAAAAAAAATCCATACCCAGAAATTTCTTGACAAGCATAAAAAGAAGAAAAAAAAACCTAAGCTCGCTCAAACGTCAAAATTCTATTTCGTGGGGGTGGGTAACTTTTTTCCTTATTTTAGTAACCTTGTTAATTCCAGGGGGGGGGGGGGTCCTACCCCCCTCTAGATCCGCGCATGGAAGGCGAAGTCGGAATTAGACTACATGCATCCAGGCATACTAGAAACACCCCGGTCTTTTTTTCTGCGTTAATATTTTATATTAAAATAGCACTTTTCAATAAAGAAATATCTTTAGTACGCACCGTGTTTGTCATCAACCAGGAGAGCTAAAAAAATCTTAAAACTCGAAAATTCTATGTGGTGGTGGTGAAGGGGGGGGGTCGTCACTTTTTTCAGTAATAAATCTTACTCATATGCCACTAAGTACATGACTTTTAATATATAAATGACTATTAGTACTGCAACAAAAAGTGTAAGGGATAAGGGATGGGGGGCAACAAGCCTTTAGCTGAATTTTTCCAGTAGTAAAAAGTTAAGTTTAGGATTTAATGTTTCTTGGCCACCCTCCCCTCTACCGAAACTTACCCCATAGGAGGTCGTCCATCCGGAAGTCAGTATATATATTGAGAATTTGGTGGTGTGATTGTACATTATATAATTTCCTTTTCGAGAATTTTTCACTCAAATGGAGAAGCCACCTCTTGCCGGTGGAGAGCTGCAAATTTGTCCTTATAGCCATTGAGCAGTGAGGGATCTTTTTTCGTGCCAGCACCTACTGCGACACGGGAACTCGGATAATACGGTCTAGATCTCATCCGAAGGACCGAACTCCACATCCTTTAGTGGGATTCGAACCCACGACTCCTTACTACTGTACTTCGTGACTCTATATAGAGCAGACGCCGTAACCACAGTGCCACGCGGGCGACTGCATCAAAGGGGGGGGGAGAAAGAGTCATTATCCATATGTACTCGTGAAGATTATCTATGTTTAACTAAATGGTTAAAATGATTTAATTATAAAACACCATTTAAATGATATTATTTAAATATCTATTCATATAGAACCAGGGACCTATATACTAGTATAGGTCCCTGATAGAACGGATAAATTTCCTTCAAAAACTGAAAACGTTAGTATATATAAACATTGTTTTACGATTTAAAAAAAACTATTCGGGGGAGGGGTTGCTAGGAATGGGGGCGAATTGCTATATATAACGAGATTTCCCACGGAAGACTAGCTATATATTGAAACTTCCCCGGGGGAGTCCCACTGTATAGTATTCCGAAGGAAGCATCACTATGTAGTCAGTCTTCCAGGAGAAATCTTAAACATCTAGCGAGACTTCCGAGGAACTGGCATGTATCGGGTACATACCTGGACTTATAACAAACATCAGTCTTTTAAAAATTTTAGTTTGATTAATAAAGTATTAAGGCAGAAAATTTAAAAAACTCGAATAACCCCGGCACGGGTTTGCTTACCTTATTTTACCAACACTCTTAGCGAACACCCCTGCCACCTAGCGTTATAATGCGGCACTAAATTCGGACAACTTGTATTCGTCTTCATTGAATATGCTTCATTGTTTGCGTGATTGAGTTAGCGTTCGTAATAGTTATAATCATTTAAGAAACTGTATCAATTTAAAAGAAAGTAAAATGAATTTACAAGAATAAAGCAACATAGAAGTAAAGACAAAATGAAGAATGATAAAAGTCAAAGTGAAATGTAATAAAGACGAATATGGAAACAATAAAGTGACATATAACTACAATAATAACAAAGCAAAAAGAAGTAGGCAGAATGAGAATAAAAGCAAGATACATAGACTTTTGGCGGTAATTCCCTTCCATATGGTTGTGCTTGAAATGAAGGATATGGAGATTACGAACGTATTCAATACCAAAGTCCACAAAACAATGCGAAATAGGATCGAGCGGAGTAAACATGAACCTCTAAAACATTAGAGGTGGGATCAGGTGTCATGGAGGAGTGATCGTCTCCTGCCGACCGGTCACTCCCAGTGTGCTCCTTGTCATGATCAGGAGACAAAGGAAAATCCATCGTCAATCAGTGTATAGTAAGGGAGAGATAATCCTGGTTTTCCAACAACTTAATAACAGTTCAATAGACAAAAGGAAATCAAAGCTTTAAGGTTTTCATTATTGTAAATTAAAGTTCCGAAGCTTGTTAACCGTAATTAATTAAAGTTACAAAATTTTTACTTCAGTAAATCAAAGTTCCAAAGTATTTATTTTAGTAAATCAAAGTTCCAAAGTTTTTGCCTAAAGAAAGTCAAAGTTCCGAAGTTTTTACTTTAGTTAATAAAAGTTCCGAAGTTTTTACTTTACTAAATCAAATTTCAAAGGTTTTCCTCTCGAAAATTAATTTCAAAAAGTTTGATATAGTGAATCAAAATTCCAGAAATTATCACTGTAGTAAATCAAAGTTCCAAAGTTTTTATTTTCCATTAGTAAATCAAAGTATCAAAATTTTCAACTAGAAAATCAAATTTCAACAGTTTTGACTATAGTAATTAAATTTTCGAAAATTTCACTATAATAAATCAATGTTTGAACGTTTTTATACTTTAGTAAACCAAAGTTCAAAAGTGTTTAGTTTTGTAAATAGTAAAAGTTCTTAAGTTTTTACTTTAGTGAATAAAAGTTTCAAAGTTTTTTCTTCACTTAATCAAAGTTTCTAACGTTTTTCTCAAGAAAATCAAGTTAAATGTTTTCATAATAGTAAATCAAAGTTACAAAGTTCCAACTATAGTTAATCAAAGTTGCAATGTTTTTACTGTGGTTAATTAAAGTTCAAAAGATTACAGCATGTATTATAAAAGTAAATTAAAGTTTTTTTTTTTTTTTGTAGTAAAAATAAACTTCCAAATTGTTTACTTTTAGAAATCAAAGTTACAAAATTTTCACTGTCGTTAATCAGAATTTAAATGTTTTAACTTGTAAATCACAGTTTCGAGGTTTTTTTTTTAGTTATAAGATAAAATTAAAGTTCCAATATTGGCCCATGTACAAAGTGTACCAGAAGTGTGCCCAATAAATGTGTTAAAAGCGGTTCAAATACTCTTTTCTTAAAGAATTATTTTTCATTCACCAAATCCACAAATTTTTAAGCTTCAAAATCATACCTTGGAAAAATGCAAAATTTATGAACATTTTAACCACTTTAAAGACTGTCAAAAATATGCAATAATAGAATGAAGTATAAATATGTTTTTTTTTTGTATGTCTGTTTCACTAATTAGGTCTGTTCCTGTCGCCCTTTCCATGTCTTACGTCACCTGCAGCTATCGTCGACCTATCGATTGTGACACGATGATTGACAGCGCTCCTGTAAGGTGTGATTTACACCTTTGTATTACTGATTTACCTGTGCATTGTGTATTGTCCCTTTCCTGTTGTACACAACTGCGTTAATTTCTGATCCATGTTCATTTACATTCTTCTCTGCCGGAAGAAATTCGAAATTTTTGGTGGAAATATTTTTTTTATTTCGTTTTCTCGAAATCTTTCTTCGCAATTTTTAATTTTGATTGTGAGCGAAAAAAATGTGATTTTTCTAAATAGAAAAAAAAATCGTACTTTTTTTGTTTAGCGAATGCGAGTTTGCAATGTGTTTAAAAACTTCGACATGTTTAAAAAGTGCGACATGCATAGAGAGAAATTAAAATGAGCTGAAGGAAAGATTAATTCTTTTGTGATTGAATACAACTGAGAAGAATATTAATTTTATAACACTCATTAACAAAGTGGCGGATCCAAGAGGAATTCTTTTACTTTAAGGATTTATTGAGTGGAGGATCTAGAAATTGTACAGTAAGTTTGCTTTTATTAAAATAGTATTTTCTTTTTATGAAAGAGAAAATCATAAGAACTTTAAGTCATATATAATGGAAAATATTTCAATTTTGAGTTGAATTAATGAAGGGAGAAATGAATTCAAAGAAGAAAATATCAAAAGCACATAGTAAATCGGCATGTCTTTGCGCAAACTGTTTATAAATGGCAAATTATCATCCTATATACTAGTAACTGAAAATTGTTTTAATAACTTATTCAGTCCAGGGAAATAAATAAAAAATATTTGTCAGTAGAAGAAGGGAAAACCACATACATTGTACATGTGTATGCCTCTTTTGTACCGGTATATCCCGGGAACTTTTACACACAGCACACCTGGTGTACGTGTTTTTCCTGGTGTTAAGTAGCCCTACGTTTAATTAATGACTTTGTCCATAATCTAACGGTCCCCAAATATAGATGTTATATGTCCAGACTTACACAAATGACCATTATATACGTGTCCTGTGTTAGGCCTGTCTGTAATAAACACGTGTAGTACCTAACCATTGACTGAGACACCTTATAATATTCCTTACAGACAATGACAAGTTTAAAGTTATTTTGTTTGAAAGAGGTGGGAAGGGGTAAACGTTTGTTTTGATTTATTTCAAGCTTAACTTCAATGAAGTACCGTAAAAGCGGAAATTTTAGCGAGACGCAAATTTAGCAAATTCTACCTAAAATCTGGTATTTATTTTTAGCGAAAAGTAATTTTAGCGATTTTAAAGTGCTAACTTAAGAAACTGTTACAAATAATACGCAATTAATTTTTAGCAATATTCAATTTCAGCGATGTCAGCACCCTCGCTAATAATGCCAAAATTAAATCCTCGCTAAAAATTTTACTTATACGGTATTTGGAGTTTAGCTTACATAGAGCAAAAATCGTAGATTTTTGTATATATATATTTTTTAGGGGGAGGGTATGATTTTTTTTTCGAGATTTTTAAGTCAATTTTCAATTTAGCATTGTTATTGTAAAAACAACTAAGCGTCAATAGCAATTCTAATAATTCAGAAAAGAAGAGATATCAATCGATGTCCAAAACATTTTTTGTTTTAAATATTTGTTTGATTTTTCTATACATTTATTCTGAATTACGTGCAATTATTTGATATTTTTTTTGAAGACTTCAATGAAAACACGCCTTGCTTTTTCTGAGCAAATAAGGTTTTCTAAAAATGAAATGAATATTTCATAATGTACTGAACTTTGCAATACAACTAAGTTTCAGATGACTTGCTTTTTATTTACATCAAATCCAATATCCTACTAAAATCTCAAATGATGATTTAGGAACAAGAGAATGGAAAATGTATATTATAATGAAAAAAGTTGTATATTATATGATAAAAAAGAGGTCTATTTACCAGTACATATTTCATTGATATTGATTGATTTAATAACAAGATCCAATAAATCAACTATTTGCTGATTTATATGTGAATAATCAGCTTGTTTTATTTCCAGAGTTAACACTGTATATTATGGTGTAAAAAATAAAATATCTTGTTTTCCTTTCCAAGTGTAACTTTTATTTGATCTACGTTTAAATTATGTAAAAATCATAACATAAGAATTTTAATTTGACCTCAACTTTTTCTTACTTATGTCGACTTATTCTGCTTTTTTAGCTCAGAGAGAAGGGTCTGAAAATGACAGAGAATCTATCAAAATATTGCACACAATAACGCCCAAAATGTCATTTAATTAAAATAGAATCTTTTTTTATTTATTTCATCCATAAAAATGCAGTAAGAAAGAATAATAACAAGAATTCATTTTGGTTTGCACCTGTATGTTATATATACATGAATTTATCTTTGTCTTAACAAACGTGTCTGTAGTTAAAAGTTTATATGTGTAACTTTGTGAAACAGTAATGCCCCTGTACGGCAGCTTGTGGCGAGGGTTGAAGTTTCGCGAATGCAAAATAAAATTCAAGGTCAGTGTCAAAAGTTCAAAATTGTTGGTATCCAAAGGAAGGTCTTGTCACAAGAAATACACTTGTAGAATATGACAGCCCTAACCATTTGATAGTTATACTCAAGATTAAAGTTTTTTAAAGAGGAATAAACTGTAAGGTCAAGGTCGAAATTCCAGAAATCTAAAGGAAGGTCTTGTAACAAGAAATGTACCTTGAAATATGAAAGTTCCAAAAAGTATGGTCAAGGTTTATGTTTCTTGAAAAGTGGGCAACGCTCTAATGTCAAGTTCAAAAGGTCAAATATATTCATATCCAATGTCTTATCCCAGTGTGAAAACTCTAGCACATACTAATAAAAAAATTAATGGCCATAATTAAAGCTTGATTTTTCTGGTAAAAGTTGGTCAACTCCAAGGTCAAGTTCACAAGTTCAAATTTGGTGGCAGCCAAAAAAAGAGAAAGTTTTGTCGCAAGTAATATACCATTGAAATGTGAGAGCCATTAGCCCCTTCCAATCAAACGTTATGGACAAGATTACAGATTTTGTGGACAAACAGACAACGGACGGACAGGGCAAAAACTATGTACTAAATGTAGTACTAGTTTCCTCTTCGACACACATACGGTTAACTTCACATCAAACATGGACATGTTAGAAAATTTGCAATGGTAAAGAAATAGAAAGTGTTCTCTTATCTTAATGCTGTAAGGAGTTTTATAGACCAGACAAAGCACCAGTAACGATGCAGTCTATGGTGAATTGGGTAGATTTCAATTTATACAAGAAAAGATTTTTTAAAAATGCCTGGTAATATTCTATAAACAGTCTTTTAGATGCACGTTATTAAGATATGATTAAAAATAATGATTAATGGATGATCAATAAAAACAAGTTTCGGAATAACGGGAAAATTCTTCCACATTTTAGCGTATAGATTATAATCTAACAATTAGTATGAAAAATGTCAGTCACCATTTGACTCACTGATAAATTGTATTGGCTGACAGTGGCATTGTATCGACCAAAGAATATTCAATATTATGACATTTAATAAGAATGCTGGTGCTTTTGTTTCATAAACTTTTTTGTCAATAACTTACCTCATTTTAGAATTTGTTTAAACAGATCAATATAGATCATTGAACTAAACAATTTTTTCTGTGATGTCTTATGCAATACAAGATAAAATTGATATTGAAAATTAATGGTATTTTGAAAATAATAATACAGCATCAATGTACGTTGTAGCTTATATTTCTATAAAGAATTTTATAACAAATTTCCATTTTTCGCTTATCCAGCAATTTCAGCCAAGATATTTGAATAAGCCCCACCCCTTTCTGTCCTGCCATCATTTTTATCTGAAAGAAAAATAAATCAATTTCACTTATAGCCGAAAATTTTCACATAACAGCAAAGTTATGACGACAAATACAAATAAGAAATTGATTTACATCTACTGAGTGTAAATAAACTGCTATAGATGTGTTCTACACGCCGCGTGACCGGATGTTTACGATAGGACCCCGCCCTATATTTAATGTCTACAGTGGTCACCTGTGTGCCATCACTCCCTGTCCCTGGCCAGAATCTAATGGGGTCATTCACAGAGAACGTTAGTTGTCCATGTATACTGTATAAGGATGTCTAACCCGACTACTAGAGTCGCCATATTTAATGGACCTATTTGATGGCGGGCGGCAATTGGAAGCGAGAGGACGAGAAAATTATAAACAATCGCGAATAAAAGAGCTTTAAGCTACAAATAATACATGATGAATGTGTTTCGATCGTCTAAATTTATTGATTTTCATAAAAATCAAGTCGTTGTTTTTTTTTTTTTTTTTTTTTTTTTTTTGTTTTGTTCTAAACTACATTCTAGACTACATTCCATGTTATTGTTATTCAGTGGTCGTTATACAGCTAAAAATAATATAAACATTCAGTCGAACTTTGACTGACTTGTTTAATACTTACTGTAAGGTCTTTTTTTTACTGAATTGACTACAACAAATACAGAGATATCAAGGCAGATGTGACTGATGAGGAGGGGATGCTTACTCCTCCACGACCACCTGATCCCTCCACCGGAGTTTCCTGGGGCCCATGCTCTGTTCCTATGTTTGTTTTGTAGATTATTTTTCGATCGGTCAGTGTTTATTATCCTCATGTTTGTTATTAAGACAACGTTTTAAAAAAAAGAAATTGGACATGCAAGGCACTCAAATTAGTTAGTTTAAATTAATAAGTAAAAAAAAAAAGAGGAAAGACACGACGAACAGCTTATCAAAGTTGTAGCTGAAATTAGTCATAATGGTATATATCGCATCGAGTTCGTTAAAAGAAGCAAAGGAGAAACAAGTTCACAAATCAATTAAAGCAAAATCAATTAAAGCAATAAGTTAAATTCTTTAGAGTAACAAACAAATTGATGGATCTACGAGGGTTGTTCAAAAATTCCGTAGACAAGCGTTGTTTTGTAGGAACCCGATATCATATATTAATGAAACTTCGTACATATATTCAACCAACACTTTCTAATAAATTTATGGACAAATGTCGAATAACTACATAAATTAGCCCTATTTAAATGATACATTTCATTCTCTTGTGTAAGAAGGCGACGCAGTACCCAAAAGTTGCAATTAAAAATTTGTATGTTACATATAAAATCCTCCGGAAAAAATAATTACTACTCTGTATGTTTCAAATGCAAATGAAAATTCTTAATATTGTATTATAAACTATATTTTCTCAAACTTTGGAGTTTATGCTTTCTCAAATATGAATTTTATAACGTTTTATGTACGCCGGGTTGAAATCCGACTTTTTGGCACAGGCGGCGGACTGGACAATGATCAAGTGTTTTGATTCTGAATTCACTCTTACAGAAATGTACGAGTCATAAATGTTTGGTGTGCAAGGAAATGTTTTCTGGTCCTTAGTATTTAAAATTACTGAAATGGTTTCTCTATGTAAGCGAATAACGGAAACTTAAAAAAAGGACAGATCTGAGAATTGGGCAAGAGTGCTGCTGTGCAACT